TTACGGTGGGCTAGGGGTGGGTTTTGAGTCTTACGGTGGGCTAGGGGGTGGGTTTTGAGTCTTACGGTGGGCTAGGGGGTGGAATAGAGTATTACGGTGGGCTGGGGGGGGGGGTTTTGAGTCCTATGGTGGGCTTGGGAGTGGGTTTTGAGTCTTACGGCAGGCTAAGGAGTGGGTTTTGAGTCTTAAGGTGGGCAAGGGGATGGGTTTTGACCCTTACGGTGGGCTAGGGGATGACTACATCTCCTGGGACACTTTGGGACATCCCCATCCCAGTCTCGTTTCCCGGCGTGACGTCACTTAATGGCGGCCGTGTGAGTGACCCGTACGATAACTGCAGTCCACTCCCCCCCCCCCTTACCCCACCCAGCAGCACGTGGCAGCCAGACGCACGAGCTCATCACTCACAAGCTATTAGTTACAGCACAAGGGCTATTTAAGGTCACGTGACCTCATTAATGCACCAATAAGCTGTGTTCACGTTACAAAAAAAAAAGTGCAACCGATTCGTCCCTTCATTTCGCGCCAAAACGCGAAAATGTTTCCATGTGTGTCTCTGTGTGTCTAGTTACATGTTTCCATGTGTGTCTCTGTGTCTAGTTACATATGTACAAGTTGTAAATATATATTTTGGCGTTTTTTTAATGTTGGAAATGAAAAGGGAGATAGAGAACACAGTACCCTTTGTAGAGACGTGAGAGAGAGAGAGAGAGAGAGAGAGAGAGAGAGAGAGAGAGAGAGAGAGAGAGAGAGAGAGAGAGAGAGAGAGAGAGAGAGAGAAGAGAGAGAGAAGAGAGAGAGAGAGAGAGAGAGAGAGAGAGAGAGAGAGAGAGAGAGAGAGAGAGAGAGAGAGAGAGAGAGAGAGAGAGAGAGAGAGAGAGAGAGAGAGAGAGAGATACAGAGAGAGAGAGAGATACAGAGAGAGAGAGAGAGAGAGAGAGAGAGAGAGAGAGAGAGAGAGAGATACAGAGAGAGAGAGAGATAGAGAGAGAGAGAGAGAGAGAGAGAGAGAGAGAGAGAGAGAGAGAGAGAGAGAGAGAGAGAGAGAGAGAGAGAGAGAGAGATACAGAGAGAGAGAGAGATACAGAGAGAGAGAGAGATACAGAGAGAGAGAGAGAGAGAGAGAGAGAGAGAGAGAGAGAGAGAGAGAGAGAGAGAGAGAGAGAGAGAGAGAGAGAGAGAGAGAGAGAGAGAGAGAGAGAGAGAGACAGAGAAACAGAGAGAGACAGAGACAGAGAGAAACAGAGAGAGACAGAGACAGAGAGAAACAGAGAGAGACAGAGACAGAGAGAGACAGAGACAGAGAGAAACAGAGAGAGACAGAGACAGACAGACACACACACACACGGAAACACTAAAAGCCACACAAAACTTTAACAACCTCGTAAGCTATCCTAAAGACATATCAACGCGCCAACCACTGACACTCACTATTTAACTAGAAAACACAAGAGACTACCAATTTATAAAAAAAAATAACCAAATACCACACTCCATTAGTCGAATTTAACCCATTATTTAAATGGGTTCTTTTAGCATGACATTCCTTTAGCTTATGGCTTTCATTACCAGCCCATTAAGTGATAATAATTAGAATTTACTAATTCAGGAATTAAGAGGTTCTACTAACTGCTCAACCACTCTACCACCACAAAACCAACGAGGATTAAAACGTCATTATCGTCGTGTTCTAATCTTGACTTAATACATCGCATTTTTAACGCATTTTTAACGCATTTTTAACGTCAACTAAGAGGCGACAAATTAAGTGGGAGGACAGGTTACTTGAACCCGTTAACCCTAATATTAATTATACACCTATCATCGAGAGTATTATAGCAGGTATCATCAATTATAGCGGCAATCATCAATTATAGCAGGTATCATCAATTATAGCGGCAATCATCAATTATAGCAGCAATCATCAATTATAGCGACAATCATCAATTATAGCAGCCTTCATCAATTATAGCGGCAATCATCAATTATAGCGGTAATCATCAATTATAGCGGCAATCATCAATTATAGCGGCAATCATCAATTATAGCGGCAATCATCAATTATAGCAGCAATCATCAATTATAGTAGCAATCATCAATTATAGCAGCAATCATCAATTATAGCGGCAATCATCAATTATAGCGGCAATCATCAATTATAGCGACAATCATCAATTATAGCAGCCTTCATCAATTATAGCAGCAATCATCAATTATAGCGGCAATCATCAATTATAGCGGCAATCATCAATTATAGCAGCAATCATCAATTATAGCAGCAATCATCAATTATAGCGGCAATCATCAATTATAGCGGCCTTCATCAATTATAGCAGCAATCATCAATTATAGCAGCAATCATCAATTATAGTAGCAATCATCAATTATAGCAGCAATCATCAATTATAGCGGCAATCATCAATTATAGCAGCAATCGTCAATTATAGCAGCAATCATCAATTATAGCAGCCTTCATCAATTATAGCTGCAATCATCAATTATAGCAGCAATCATCAATTATAGCAGCAATCATCAATTATAGTGGCAATCATCAATCACGGAAATTATAAACAATTATAGCAGCAATCATCAATTATAGCAGCAATCATCAATTATAGCAGCCTTCATCAATTATAGCGGCAATCATCAATTATAGTGGCAATCATCAATTATAGCAGCAATCATCAACTATAGCAGCCTTCATCAATTATAGCAGCAATCATCAATTATAGCGGCAATCATCAATTATAGCAGCAATCATCAATTATAGCGGCAATCATCAATTATAGCGACAATCATCAATTACAGCGGCAATCATCAATTATAGCGACAATCATCAATTACAGCGGCAATCATCAATCACGGAAATAAGCAACAATTATAGCAGCAATCATCAATTATACCTGCAAATCATCAGTTATAGCAGTTATCAACAATTATAGCAGATATCAACAATTATAACAGCCGTCAATAATTCAAGCACCTATCAACAATTATAGAAGTTATCACTAATTATAGCACCAATCAGCGATTATAGCACTAATCAACGATTATAGCACTAATAAGAGATTATACCACCAATCAATGATTATAGCACCAATCAACGATTATAGCAGCAATCAGTTATTATAGCACCAATCAACGATTATAGCACCAATCAACGATTACAGCACCAATCAGCGATTATAGCAGCAATCAGCAATTGTAACAGCAATCAGCAATTATAGCACCAATCAACGATTATAGCAGCAATAAACGATTATAGCACCGATCAACGATTATAGCACCAATCAGCGATTATAGCACCAATCAGCAATTATAGCACCAATCAGCAATTATAGCACCAATCAGCAATTATAACAGCAATCAGCAATTATAGCACCAATCATCGATAGCACCAATCAACGATTATAGCACCAATCAACGATTATAGCAGTAATAAACGATTAAATCACCAATCAACGATTATAGCACCAATCATCGATAGCACCAATCAACGATTATAACAGCAATAAACGATTAAATCACCAATCAACGATTATAGCACCAATCATCGATAGCACCAATCAACGATTATAACAGCAATAAACGATTAAATCACCAATCAACGATTATAGCACCAATCAGCGATTATAGCAATAATTAACTATTGAAAAGCTACGTCAGAAAAATTACTGAGGTTGATAGTCAGAATATTTGGCTTAATAAACTTCAAAAGAAAAACAGGCATTAGGCGAAGTTTAAGAATAGAGTTGTGTATCATCTTACAAGGAGGTAGTTAGGTGGTGACAGGAGATCACCTCGAATTGGCACTGTCACTAACAATCATCTTAAGTAAGACACAGTGTGTGTGTGTGTGTGTGTGTGTGTGTGTGTGTGTGTGTGTGTGTGTGTGTGTGTGTGTGTGGTGTGTGTGTACTCACCTAGTTGTGTTTGCGGGGGTTGAGCTCTGGCTCTTGTGTGTGTGTGTGTGTGTGTGTGTATGTGTGTATGTGTGTATGTGTATGTGTGTGTGTATGTGTGTGTGTGTGTGTGTGTGTGTGTGTGTGTGTGTGTGTGTGTGTGTGTGTGTGTGTGTGTGTGTGTGTGTGTGTGTGTGTGTGTGTGTGTGTGTGTTTGTGTGTGTGTGTGTGTGTGTGTGTGTGTGTGTGTGGGCGGGGCAAGTCTCACTAGCAAGCCCCGCCCACCTCCTCTGGCGGGATTCGAACCATACTATGCCCCAAAGTGGGTGGAGCCAAGAGATTCCATGTGCTGTTTATCCACCCATTTCTTGAGATGGATTCATCGGATAAATGTAAACAAATCCTTAATCCATCAGTTAACTGAGTATCATCTGATTGTGATCCATCTGATCTGATTGGCAGGTGATTGTGAGGCATTTACAGTGATGAGTGTGTGAAGGAAGGAGGAAATAGCGAAGGGTTCATGGTAGTATTCATCACTATTCCTCTCCCAGCTGTTCCCAGGGGCTAGGTGCCCCCAGGCACTCAGAGGCACTCAGTGCCACTCTAGTTGTCTCCGCCTCACTGATCGTTAGTGGTGCTTCGTTGCCCTATCTCTATAGTGCCATGTCTGTGCTCGTTAGCTCCTAGTTTTCGTTAACGAGTGCCATGATTCGGTAAATCAGTGCCACTTTAGAAAACTGGTGCCTGTGGCACATTCCCAGTACCCAGTGCCACATCATCGTTAACCAGTGCCACATCATCGTTAACCACTGTCACGTCACTATAATTAACGAGGAGGTGGATTCTATAATTTACAAGAAAAGCCAATAATTTACATGAACACAGACACTATAATTATCAAATTATATATAATTTAACTATTATAATTTTATCCAAATACTCATAGTCAAAATACTGATTCTGTTCAAATACAAACATTAATTTTGTCCAAATAATCATATTGTCCAGATATATTGTCCAAATATTCATATATCGATTCATTTTGTCCAAATACACATTCATAGAGCAGATACAAATAATTTCAAATCTTAAGAATTTTGAGTAAAAAATATATATTTTTTTAAAGTGGTGTCATCGTGATCTGCTGGTCGACCTGTTCGCTAAAACTCGTATCGATCTTATAGTGAATATTAACTCAGATTGCAAATTTAAGCTCTTGTTGCAAAGCAATTTGGCTATCTGTGTAATTCGAGGATATATTTCCTGGTGCTCAGAAGGAACTTTTTTGAGATTTGAAAATGTCGACGCCACCGCCTACAAGATTCACTATGGCCAGTGATTCCTTCTCTATCGAGTCCTTGTTATCCTCCCGACGACCTGAATCCCAGCCCCAGCCTCAGACCTTAGCCCTTGAGGGCTCAGCCCTACCTTCCCTCGTCCCAGCGGCCCTCAGACCAGATTCTCAGCCACTCCAAGACCCGCATCTAGTCGCCCTTACTCAACCTAACTCCACTGGAGAACAGATGAGGTCCCGCTCGACCGGCGTCACGCCTCTCTTCTTGGCTAGTTTGAGGGCCAGCTCTGAGCCTCCGCGGGCCGCATCGAGGGCGGAGGGTGACTCCACCGAGGAGGAAGAAGAAGAGGTGGAGGACGAGCTGAGAGATTGCGAAGAGGAGGAAGAGGTGGACCTTGTGGTGGATGATGTTGACAGCTCCCCCTCGACCGTGGGTGCTGGGGCGGTCAACACTCCCTCCCTGTGTGACCAACAGCTTAGTGATGCAGGTCAGTGTTTCACAGACAGACAGAAAGACGTAACCAAACAGACAGACATAGACACAGCAAGAGACAGACAGGTAGAGAGACAGACAAAAACTCAAGCCAACAGAACCAAGACATAATGATAGGATACAAAAACAATATTATATATATATATATATATATATTATATATATATATATATATATTAGAAATCTTCACTATTTTGTAACCAACAAACATTGACACAAAATTATTTTAAAACCCAGTACCAAACCCTAGACCAAAAAATTATAATTATCACACTAATAATTCATAATAATTCCTAACAATACAAATTATCCATATTAAGAAACAATTGACAATAATATTACCAATTAAACCCCCTGCAGCATTCTCAAAAAATTAATTTGGTTAATTAATCCTGCAATTATTTTTATAAATTATAATAATATTTCAGAGATATAAGATTATTTGATCTATTTAGTCAACATTATCATTCCTTTCTGTTTCCCTTAAATATATATCTATACACACAATATATATATATATATATATATATATATATATATATATATATATATATATATATATATATATATATATATATATTTATGAGAGCAGCAGAGCAAGATTCACCGAGAAGATATATCCGGCAAAATATATATTATATAGCTAGTTGATTATATGTGTGTGATATATTTAATATATGTATAATCATATACCCAGCCAACCAAACAAGAGATACACCGGATATATGTATTACCCGGTGTTCAGACTAAGCGGAGCTACTGTGTGATGTTCCATATTATCGCATGGTATTTTAACCAGCAATGTTAATATCGCCCTATAATTAACAATGGCTTTATGCAAACGAGGTACTGATAAACAAATGGTTATCTTGAGGTTATCTTGAGATGATTTCGGGGCTTTAGTGTCCCCGCGGCCCGGTCCTCGACCAGGCCTCCACCCCCAGGAAGCAGCCCGTGACAGCTGACTAACTCCCAGGTACCTATTTACTGCTAGGTAACAGGGGCATTCAGGGTGAAAGAAACTTTTGCCCATTTGTTTCTGCCTCGTGCGGGAATCGAACCCGCGCCACAGAATTACGAGTCCTGCGCGCTATCCACCAGGCTACAAGGCCCCCATATATATGGTACATATATATTCCACATATTTCCACATATATTCCACATATTTATGTTGAAGGATATAAACGCCAAATAAAGAGATGTGATAAAATCAACATTGTATGATTTTACATGTAAATAATTACTGAAATCACATGAATTAATGATGGAAAAATATACGACAAACTCCATGTGATGCTCAGGAAACTTTCACTCACCACCTTTTGTGGCTCAGGAAACATTTTCACGATGTAAATCAGATATTTCAGCACTTAGGTCTTGACTTAAGCTTATCTTAATTCCATTCAATCGTAATTACCTTCGCTAACGTATCTAACTTAATTTGCGCCTCAATTCTAACTTAATTTTGTCATTCTCAATTAATGTAACTAGCTCTTAACTCCATAACTTAATTAGGCACAAGATATAAACTTAATTTTAAACTTTGTTGCTCATTTATAAGATCATTTACCCTTCTCAAATGGCATAGTTTACCTCTAAAGTAACGTGATATACCACTCTCCTTTTGCCAAATTTATTTTTACTCTGTTATATTCTCTCTCTCTCTCTCTCTCGTTCCAAACCTCTCCCCTTCTAAGCCCTTTGCCCTTTTTCCCTTGAAAGCGCCACACCTATTTCTCCTCAATTACATGTATCACCATTTTCTAAGTTCCCCCTTTCCTCAGTTTTCCTTTTTTCATCTCATTTAAACCCAACTCTCTTGGTTAGTATTTGTCTTACTTCTCTTCTACTCACATTCTCTCTCTCTCCCTTATCTTTCATACTTCCTCTGTGTCCCTTCCTTCATCTTATCCCTATTTATCACTCCTTCTACTACCACTATTCCCATAATGCCTCCTCTCTCTCTCTCTCTCTCTCTCTCTCTCTCTCTCTCTCTCTCTCTCTCTCTCTCTCTCTTCCCTCCCACTAGAAGGGAGGGATGAAGAATTTCCGACTTTCCTCTTCGTTGTATTCTTCGTTAATCATCGCCTGTTCTACCTTTACTTCTCTCTCCTCGTTCATCTCTCTCTCTCTCATCCTCATTCGTTTCCCATCGGTTCCTATATTATTTTATCCTAATAGTTCTAACTTTAGCGTTTACAGCAATATTAGTAAAACAACAATATCTTTGTGCAGGCGATGAGTCACAATAACGTGGCTGAAGTATGATGACCAGACCACACACTAGAAATTGAAGAGACGACGACGTTTCGGTCCGTCCTGGACCTGGACAAGTCGTCACAATCGACTTGAGAATGGTCCAGGACGGACCGAAACGTCGTCGTCTCTTCAATTTCTAGTGTGTGGTCTGGTCATCAACAATATCTTTATTTTTGGGAGTAAGATTCAGCCCTCAAGGCAGGTGATAGATTGTGATAGATTGCTCAATATCTTGTTTGGGTCTAAGTAGTTATAGGGCATTAATTCCTTCATTCCATCCCAGCGCCCATCCCTCCCTAGTATCCCTTCCATGTGCTATGTAGGCATACTAGCTAAGCGCTTTCCTATCCTTTTCTTTCCCTTCAGGTCTATGCTATCTCCAGGAAGATACGTTTTTTGTATTCAGGTTCCCTTATGTCTACTGGAGTGAGTAGGGTCTAAGACATGACTAAATTATATATATCCTAGGTCCATCACTACTCTGTAAATAAACCTAACCTATCCTATCCTTTGTTCCTATTCTTGGCACATATTGAACAAGATCAGTGATGGCATTTTTTGTTATTTAAAGTAGATAGTGTCGAAAATCCTCATCCTGGACCTTTATAAGAATTTCTATAATTGTAATCCTATGATTTTTAACCTTGTTAGGCTTTACGACAAAATTAATTTATACAGATTTCAAAATCCCCTAAAAATCCAGTTTGAATCCCGTCTAAATTCATCTAAGGACATCAAAGACATCTAAAAAAAAAAAAATGCAAAAAACAATGATTTGCGGCTTCAATGCCGCAAATCTAGATTTATACATATGTATAAATATACATAAATAACTGTGTATACATTATATTTGTATTTATGTGATATGTATATATTATATTTGCATAGATTTGATATGTATATATATTAGATTTGAATATATTAATCAAATTTAGATTATACATAATTTATATATAGTTATAATTTCTCTGACCTTAGGAAACGTGAACTGACTCAACTTCAGCCTTTCTAGATTTTGTTTCTTATCTCTCTCTTATCTTGCTATCTTTTTTGGGGCTCAATTTTCACATTTTTCACTTCGCCGTTAGGCTTTCTCTAACACTACCCCTGGAAACACAAACCGAAACTGTCTCTATTTTCCGCTTGTAACAACTTGTAATAAAGTTGTTACATCTTGGCTTAATGTGTTTATGACGTATTGGAACGTTGTTACAACTTGCTATATTGGTTGTTATAACTGGTTAGGTGGTGTTAAAACTTGTTCGAACGTTGTACCAACGTCGTAGTTTCGGTGTGTGTTTGGAGGGACGTGCATTTTGTAAAAACCCATTACAAAAAAAAAACCTTTTGTACTGACGCTAAAGTTGTATTGACTCCAGAATCTTCCTCTAGCGTCACTACAAAAGCCTCCCTAATCAATACACTTCCATATGTGAGGTACAGTAACATAAAAAGGGATTATCAACTGCAACTTTTCTCTGTACAAACAACAATTTCGACCTTTGGATCTTCCCAATTACGCAAAACGGCAAAAATCGGTTTGGAAATTGGCTGACGGCCATTAACCGCTTTCACTTCGACAATTAAAATATAAAACGAATGGTGAATAACGCAAAATTATTTCGCAAACAATTGCAAACTTACAACAAAAAAATAAAAAAAAATGTACAAATGAAGGCCAGGCCGTATTGCAATAATATTAATAAATTACAATAACTACAATAGCAGCTATTATTGTAATTTATTGTGGCTATTATACTGCTATTGTGACTAATAGCATAATACCCACAACAGCAACGTAATAGGCTGTAAACAATAGCTGCCTATTACAAGGTCGCATACAAAAGTAGTTTAATCTGCCCTAGAATTCGGGCTTATGCTAAAGAGTTAGTCGTGGAGCCGAAGCGAGTCCTTCGCCGCCGCCTCCGTCGTTACTTAGCCCCCAAGTAGCTCTTCCAGAAGGTATAACTCAAGTCTATTAAGTCGCATCAACCCAACCTCCAAATATGATAGCACCAGTAATGAATATGGAGCCCGATAACTTGATATCCCCTTCGTAAAAAACGCAGTGGTTTAGCCCAAGACAGTCAGAACATATATGTTATCATTAGGCCAATTAAACGTCATAATTGCAGTAGTTTTCATTTCTCTAAACCGCTGATTTTTCGACGTCAAGGGTCGATTGCGTAAAAAGTGCAGTGCGTTCACTTATGAGGGCAGATATCACTGATATCTGCCCTCTTACATTGATATCACTGATATCTATCAATGTATAAAATATTGATCATTAGATCGAAAATTTTGTCTACATTTTCCTCTATTGGTGTACTACAAAAAACAATAAAAGCTACATCAATATAAACTAACCTCTTCTAGGATAAATATACCCAATCCTAGACCTAATATTTTAGGCCTAGTGTAGTACATAAATGCACTGTATTAGGCTTTGGGAAGGCTAGGCTAGATTATTGTATTTGGCTCTTGAAAATCAGTCGTATAAAATATAGAATTTTGAATTGTAAATGCATCCACATTTTATATATCAGCTTCAGAGTTGTTCTATATACTAACATTTTAAGAAATTTTAATATTACACAATACAAGCATAAAAATGTTTCAAACTTGCCCCTGGCTTGAATTTCCAAGATGAAATCGGTTTTTGTAAATAATTTTGTGGGTATTCAATTTTGTATACATATATTTATTTATATAATAGTTCTTACATTCATGTAAAGCCACTAGTAGGCGTAGCGTTTCGGGCAAGTCCTTAATCCTAATTTTCCCTGGAATACGACCCGCCAAATCGTTTAACAACCAGGAAGCCATTCACTGCTGGGTGAACAGAAGCTACAGTTAAGGGTTGGCGTCCAGTCAATCCTCCTCGGACAGGATACGCACCCAGGCCAGAGCGCTTGCGAAGCGCCGGGTGAATGTTTTACCACTGCGCCACGGGGATTGCAATTGGCAAAAGCGTGAAAAAAAACTGACTTCTTAACCCTAGGAGTGCTATAGAGGATAATTTATAATCCCCAACCGTCCACAAGAGGTTGGGCACCATTCCTGCCCATCGTCCCATCCCAAAATCTTATTTTAATCCCTTCCAAGTGTTATATAGTCGTATAAGTTTGGTGCTTTACCCTGATAGTTCTTCCTTCCCTTCAACCAAGCTTGACCCGGGTCACGGAGAGGTCACCCAGCGGAACCCGTCTGACCCGGCGACCTGACGAGTCGGGTGTCGGCGCCACGGGCTGTTATTAATTACGATCTAACGAGGCTATTAGCATTCTGACGGGCCGCTTCTCTTGGTGCAGTTCCCCGGAGTTGGGTGTACTGTTTCGTCCGCCAATGCCGCCCACCCTCTCCGCCCACTTCCCGCCCATCTCACGTTCCCTAGCCGCCCGAACGCTGCTCCATTCCACCCATTCCCCGCCCATCCCACCCCAAACACCCATAAATAATGAGGTGTTCTTCCTAAGCGGTCACCGGTACAAGACTTCGATGCACTCTTTCAACTCGGTTTCAACTCTTTTTAACCATGTCGTAGCTTAGTCGATTAAGGCAGCGTCTGGGATGCTCCCGGACGCAGGTTCGAATCCTCGTCACGGCCCTTTGGGATTTGTTCATAAGACGTAGATGGGTTGGTATGACTGTCCAGTGAGCGGGTAGAACTGTCCAGTGTGCGGGTAGAACTGTCCGCTGTGCGGATAGAACTGTCCACGACCTCTGTTCGAACCCCGACTTTGTTAATGCTTCACCCACGTAGATCAAATACAAATAATCGCCAATAGAACCTGAACACCTAACCTAACCTATCCCTAACTATACAGAAAACTGTATATATATATATATATATATATATATATATATATATATATATATATGAATTACTTTACGAGAACAAATACATGACGTATTTGTCACCTCTTGGGTGGATTAATCTTCATTAATCAATCAATCAATCGAGAACAAAGCTATTTTAATTAATAGGGGGAGGCCGCTGCTTTAACGAGCCAGCCTGAGGACAGATTGTTCAAAATAAAACAAAACACGTGATCCAAACATGAAACATACATTAGTGAAAACGGATTACATCACCCATTTTCTTTATTGATCTCTGGTCGACCGTTATTTACCGTTATTTCAGATTTGTAAGTGTTTTACCGTTTATATCTTTCCATTTACTCCCTTTCCCCTTGCCAAATTTATCGTATTCTGCCGTACGACGATGATAATATTATATATACATATATATATTATATATAGTGAGGGTACCACCTCTGGTGCCAATGAGGGGACCCATAGCCTCGGAGAAGAAAATAAAAAGTATTCAGAGAAGACATTGTGGTTTCTCACTGAACATTAATATTATCTTCTCCTACCACCCCTATATGTATGTACACATATATATTCGTTTATTTGAACTGTGTTACAGAAAAAGGAGTTACATATAGGGTACAAAGATGGTTATCATATATATATATATGGGGTTGGTCTTGCTTCTTGTAGGTCAGTGTTCAATCCCCCGACTCTCGAAATGATTGGGGTCTGATTCTTTGCCTTTTTTCCTGTCTAGAATCATTATCCACCCATCCCTTCCAAGTGCTATATAGCCGTAATGGCTTAATATTTTCTCCGGATTATCTTACCTCCTTGTATAACGTCCCTTTCCCGCCCTGCAGAGGACGCGAAGTCTTGCGAGGAGCGTAAGAAGAGACCAAGAACGGCCTTCACCGCCTCCCAGATCAAGGCGCTCGAGCAGGAGTTCGAGAAGAACAAGTACCTCTCGGTGAGCAAGCGCCTCCAGCTTTCCAAGCAACTCAAGCTTACCGAGACTCAGGTAAGCTTTGCAAGGAATTTAATTTGGAATTGACCGTTTCATGGCACTTTTGTACATTGACTCGGTTAAAAACGTACTTGAATCTCTTATGGTCACTCATATTTCTGAATTATTAGAGCGCTTGACCTCCCAGGCAAATCTGCAAAGTTTACATCAAAGAAAATTGAATTTGATGGTGGACTCAAACAATTCCATCGATCCCTATAGAGGAATATCAAAGCTACCTCAAGAGCTTATACTGACCAACCAGCAAGTATACTTTAGTCCTGGACGTAGCCCAGGACTAAAATATATTCTTTATATATGTATATATATACACGGAGAAGTGGGGTTAAATGCCAATAAAGAGCACTTTATTGGCATTAAGTTTTATCCAATTTTGAACATTTAATAAATATATAAATATATGTATATAGGCAGAACAATTTTCATATAATGCTGATCAATAAATTCCAATTAAAAAAAATCTTGAGTCAGGCTTTTATTGAATGTAATAGAAATTATATTCCCATTTTTTATTATTATTTGAGGGGATTCTAAAATAAATTAGGGCCCAATTTTTGCAAGTGGCGGATTCAAAATAAAATGAGTCCCCCTCTTCTTGGTTCTTTTCCCTCGTGTGTCCCCTCGTTCAGGTGTCATAACTAGCAGTTGTAAGCTTCACATTTGTGAGCTTAATCAAGCTGCGCATTAAAGCTTAAGGAGCAAAATATCATCCACACTCCCAACACCAACTGAGGGCGTAGGCTACGAGAGAGAGAGAGAGAGAGAGAGAGAGAGAGAGAGAGAGAGAGAGAGAGAGAGAGAGAGAGAGAGAGAGAGAGAGAGAGAGAGAGAGAGAGAGAGAGAGAGAGAGAGAGAGAGAGAGAGAGAGAGAGAGAGAGAGAGAGACAGAGAGAGAGACAGACAGAGAGAGAGACAGACAGAGAGAGAGACAGACAGAGAGAGAGACAGACAGAGAGAGAGACAGACAGAGAGAGAGACAGGGAGAGAGAGAGAGAGACAGAGAGAGAGAGAGACAGAGAGAGAGAGAAATCTAAAAATGGCGGGAAAATAAAGCACTTACAGCTTTCCAGGATGTGAAAGTTACCGAAACAGATCAGAAAAACAAAGAAAGAAAGGAGAAGTGAGAGTGAAAACAGAACGAAGAGAAGAGAACAAAAGAGCATTAGAGGAGAAACTGTAGACGTTGTAGTTTATACAGACCTTGACTTGTTAATTCTGATGAACCGTGTGAGTGGAGAAGAACTGGGGCCAGATTCACGAACGCACTTACGCAAGTACTTACGAACGTGTACATCTTTCCTCAATCTTTGGCGGCTTTGGTTACATTTATTAAACAGTTTACAAGCATGAAAACTTGCCAATCAACTGTTGTTATTGTTATAAACAGCCTCCTGGTGCTTCGGAGCTCATTAACTGTTTAATAATTGTAAACAAAGCCGCCAAAGATTGAGAAAAGATGTCCAGGTTCGTAAGTGTTTGCGTAACTTCTTCGTGAATCTGGCCCCAAGAACCTCAGAAACTGAATCACCACATGTTGAAACGTGTTTCAACATTCAACACGTGTTTGAAACGTGTTTCAACACGTGTTTGAAACGTGTTTCAACACGTCAACTCTTTTGACTGTTCAAACTGACACACAAACTAGTGCCAAAGTTCACTCTATAAGGGCCAGAGACGAAACAAACTGCTAACAGAAACTAGACGAATTAGGTTAACTGAAGATTAAATATTTCTTTTCCAGATTAAGATATGGTTCCAGAACCGAAGGACTAAATGGAAGAGGAAGTACACCAATGACCTGGAACTGATGGCACAACAATATTACTCCGCCCTGGGGGTCCTCAGTCCTCGGCCCATGGTGGTAGGGGATAGATTATGGTGAGTTGTGGTGGTGGATAGATTATGGTGAGTTGTGGTGGTGGATAGATTATGGTGAGTTGTGGTGGTGGATTGATTGTGGTGGTACCTAGACCATTTGGTCACCACTTGGTCCGGGAGACATCTCCCGTCACGCAGGGTGCAGTTGCGCCTCCACAGATCTCCAGTATCATCTTTTGATACTGGTAATGGCTCGAAAGGTCCACCACTTACGGGCTATTCATGCCCGTGCCACCTCTTGGGTGGCTTAATCTTCATCAATCAATCATCAATCGGTGGTACCTATTAGTGACTATTGGGGAGTGAGGTTCACTTCCTTCCCTGGAAACACAAACCGAAACTGTCTCTTCCGCTTGTTACAACTTGTAATAAAGTTGTTACATCTTGGCTTAACGTGTTTATGACGTATTAGAACGTTGTTACAACTGGCTATATTGGTTGTTATAACTGGTTAGGAGGTGTTAAAACTTGTTCGAACGTTGTACCAACGTCGTAGTTTCGGTGTGTGTTTGGCGGGTTATGCCCCCTATCTACTAATCCCAGCTGTTGCTAGTACATTATAATTTAGCTGTTGTGATTTTGAATTTGTTGAATCTGGCCTTGAAGTTGTGGATGGAGGTGGCTTCTACAACTTCCTCTTATAGTGCAACCCGTTCTCGCAAATTCGTAAAGTCAATATTGACTTATTAAATAAGTGCATAGGTGACATACTAAACATAATAGATACCCTTAAAAAGCTTCATAGAAAATACCGACCTTACCTAACCTTAATTGTTAGTATGTTAAGATAAGCATCTTATAGCTTCGTAATTAAAATTGTTATTTAACCTATTATAGGTATAGGTTAAGTAATAATTGTAATTACGAAGCAATAAGATGCTTATCTTAACATACTAACAAGGTTAGGTAAGGTTGGTGTTTTCTATGAAGCTTTTTAAGGGTATCTATTATGTTTAGTATGTCACCTATGCACTTATTTAATAAGTCAATATTGACTATACGAATCATAGTGCATTCCACTTGCACTGAAAGTACGAGCATTTCCTTACAGTTCTTTTACTTATTTGAGTTTCCAGCTTCCACTTGTGTCCTCTTGTCTTACTTTCTCTTAAATAAATGAGGTTATCCTTGTGCATTATGTATATTCCTCTCAGTATCTTGTATGTTGTGACCATATCTCCTTTGTACTATCCTCTAAGGTTGCGAGATTTTGTCGCCTGCCTGTTTCACCCTTTTTGTTAATATTCTGGTAAATTTCCTATTCAAGCGTTGTGGTGGTGATGGTGATGGTGGTGATTGTGGTGGTGATGGTGATGGTGGTGAGGGATATAGATTGTGGTGAGATATAGTCTTCTCAGGTTATAGTGACCTTCAGAGCTCTCCTGAGGCTGTACTCATCTTTTTGACTTCTATCTCCAAGAACTATTTTCATTACCTTACACTTTTTTAAGAGTCAAATCTATTAGCCACCTCTCTGCCCAATCCTGCAGGATATCAAGTCGTCTCTGCAATCGCCCTCTGTGCCTTAGTTCCCTCGTTATATCATCCTGCAAGCCCCAAATACTGAGAAAAACATATTGAACATACTGGAGTATGTTCACATAGATCAGAAACAGAATGGGTCCTAGGACTGAACCTTGTGGATCCAAGTAAATTCAGTAGAATTTCTGCTTGCAATTCTTATACCCATGTCGTAGCTGAGTAGATTAAGGCAGCGTCTGGAATGCTCCCGGACGTAGGTTCGAATCCTCATCACGGCCCTTGTGGATTTGGTCATTTGATGCATCAGGCTATTGTGATTTCTGTGTGTAGTGTAACCACCATTCTTGCTGTTCTTGTCAACTCTAATTTCACAATGACTGCTTCCTCTTCACTATTTTCTTGCCCAATTTAATTCACAACGTGTATATGGGGGCAAGTTGGTGGCAGAAAATAATGATAATACTAAAAAACTCAATCCCTAGCCTGTCTAACCACTTGGATAGATCAGTACCACGATGGTCTTGCTTCTGTCTTCCTATCCGAGCTCCAATTCTATCCTCTTGCAACCCGTTCTCGCAAATTTAATAAGTCAATATTGACTTATTAAATATGTGCATAGGTGACATACTTAACATAATAGATACCCTTAAAAAGATTCATAGAAAACACCGACCTTACCTAACCTACTATGTTAGGATAAGCATCCCTCATATCCGTTCCATGTGCTATATATTCATTGAGGCTTAGCGCTCGGTGAGTTACGGGAGTTTCGTTCGCCCTATGCCCCTGTTACCTAGCAGTAAAATAGGTACCTGGGTGTTAGCTGTCACGGGCTGCTTCCTGGGGGTGGAGGCCTGGTCGAGGACCGGGCCGCGGGGACACTAAAGCCCCGAAATCATCTCAAGATAACCTCAAGATACCCATCCTTCAATACACACAGAAATCACTATAGCGTGATATATCAAATGATCACATTCACTAGGGCTGTGATGAGAGTTCGAACCTACGACCGGGATGAGGCGCGTCTGAGATCATCCTGGATGTAGGTTCGAACCCTCATCACGGCTCTTGTGGAGTTGTTCATTTACCCATCATTCTGTTCCCGATATATTTTGGGTCACTTGTTGTTGAAGTATATCAGGTCCTTCATATATGATTTTCCTTGATATAAGCTGCGAATTAGAGACGTTATTGGTCCTTAGTATGATGTTTCCTTCATGTTAAGAATTCTTAGATTATTTTCGCAATTTTCAAGAGGTTGGGAAGGCGTGAGTGTGTGTGTGTGTGTGTGTGTGTGTGTGTGTGTGTGTGTGTGTGTGTGTGTGTGTGTGTGTGTGTGTGTGTGCGTGTGCGTGTGCGTGTGTGTGTGTGTGTACTCACCTATTTATGCTTGCGGGGGTTGAGCTCTGGCTCTTTGGTCCCGCCTCTCAACAGTCAATCAACTGATGTACACATACATGTGTGTGTGTGTGTGTGTGTGTGTGTGTGTGTGTGTGTGTGTGTGTGTGTGTGTGTGTGTGTGTGTGTGATTAAGTGTAGTTACAGGATGAGAACTACGCTTGTGGTGTCCCGTCTTCCCAGCACTCTTTGTCATATAACGCTTTGAAAGTACTGTGTGTGTGTGTGTGTGTGTGTGTGTGTGTGTGTGTGTGTGTGTGTGTGTGTGTGTGTGTGTGTGTGTGTGTGTGTGTACGTACAGACATGTGTAGGTGAATGAATGTTTGCGTGTCCAAGCCAAATTGTTCCTGCAAGAGTTAGGATAAACATCTCGGTTCATATTAAAGTAAAACTAACTAACTACAAACACTAAATACCAGCTATATAAGCCCTTAAGGAACCACGCCATTAGAGCTGTTGAATGAAAACACTCCCAATAGTTAACAAAGACTTTATCTTAACCAATAAGGATCATTTCTCCTCTCCAACAGGCTCTTCAACTACTCAGCCGGACACCCGAACCAGCACACAGTGGGTCTCCATAGCAACGGCTTGCCCCTTCTCCCCTCTCATGTTTTGCCTCCCCTTCCACCCCACTGTCTCCCCTCTATGCCCCTCCCATCCTCATTGGTTGCCGCCTCCGGAGAGCGGCCAATCCTGCATCCGAGTCCTATCAACCCTCTTACTGACCGCCACCTGATTGGTGAGCCGCCCGGCTTTTCTCAGAGTCCGCTCTCTCCTATTGGCTCAAGAACCCTGCCCACGCTGACGTCATCGATGTACACACCCGCCCCGACCAATCACCTCTCGGCTCTTACCTCTCTTCACAACACCATTAACAACTTAGGACACCCAAACCAACAGGAAAATCGATCTGGAGTTTAAATATAAATCTCTCGCAACGAAAAAAAAAATACACATTTCCTTATTTTATATTTAATTGCATGTTTCAGCTGGTAACAAACTCTTAAGATATTAGTAAGTTATTTTTTTTTTATTAAATCGGGTAAAAAATAATTTATAATTTTGAATTACCGGTGAGTGAGGTCGCCATCTTGTTTATCAGTCGCAGAAAGATGAAGAAAATGCTGTTAAGAATTTCAAGGGGGTACAAACCTAAGTTTAGTTGTCCAAGATGCTGGCGACCTAACTTAACTGGTACTCAAGGGCACGATGGCGCTCAAGGCCTGAATTGAGGACTTAAGTCTTATTAGTAAACAAAAAGTATTGTAATTCCATGTTTTTTGTAATAAAGACTGAAGATATCAAAGTCGTTTTTGTAATCCGAAACGCCCAATATATTTGGCCGAAACGCTGCGCGTACTAGTGGCTTCACAAGAATGTAATTACTATGCTATGTATCCTCACAATCCCATTGTACCTTCTTGTATATATATAAATAAATAAATAAAATAAAATAAAATAATACCATACAGCTGTATATCAGTATAACATTCTATACAACTGTATACTTGTATAACATCCCCTACAATGATGTAAATAGTATAATTGTGTGATTCATTTGACTATTAGTTTGTTATTCTCGTCTCTAAATTATGTAAGTTTATGTAAAGTACTTATGGTATGTGTACGCACGCACGCACGCACAAGCGAGAGTGAATAAAGTCTAAAAGTCTAATGATGGGACAATAGATACAGTCTAATCATCATGGGAAAATAGATGATAATATGTTAGGCATGTGGTGTATGAAAGCATGTGGTGTATGAAAACATTTTCTGCAGACATATACACTGTTTTAGTCTGCGTCTGTACAGTCTGTTCTTTCAATACTCCATTCACCTGGGCACTAGGAGGCTCGAACCTTGAACCCTGAGTGTGAGAAACGGAAATTCTATCGACCAAGCTATTTCTATCTTCTATTATAGTCTCACTACTAATAGATGTGTGTGTGGGACGGATTGATTGATTGATAAAGATTAAGCCACCCAAGAGGTGGCACGGGCATGAATAGCCCATAAAAGTGGGAGGGAGGGTACCATTGGTCTATATACCCTGGGATCATGGGTGGGGTTACCTTACCTTGAGGTTACCTTGAGGTGCTTCCGGGGCTTAGCGTCCCCGCGGCCCGGTCGTCGACCAGGCCTCCTGGTTGCCGGAGTACCAGTACTGGGGTACCATGGGACTATACACCCCTGGGAACATGGAAGGTTCCGTGGGATTAATACCATAAAAGAACGCAGCAGTAATTGTTGACACACAAGTTTCAGCCCCGCTCCGGTGCCAGGTAAGTCCATCACGGGCTCACCATAGCCCGTGCTACTTGGAACTTTTATAGTTCCCAGTAGCTTAATCTTAAACAACAACGATTGTTGACAAATACTACAGCAGTGACAACAGACTATCATTACACTTACTCTACACGAGTAGAGCTAAACCAGCTGAGCAGTCTTAGACCAGTTTGTGTACATCTGTTATTTTTTTAGAATTATATATCATACAAGCTACTGCAGTGCGGCATGTTGACATTTGGACAGCCATTAGGGCAAGTGCAGTGCTCTCGTGGTATATGTATAAACGAATTATAAGTCTCCAATACTGTTCCTTTGAGAAGTATTAGTTTTTCGGTATTCCATTTGCTGAATGAAATGTATGACACTTGAATTAAAGGGTATAGATATAGTGGAATATCATTAGCTTATACATTGCATACAAAAGTAATGTTCTATTTGATGGATGTGTGTATATGTATGTATTAACACGATGTACTGAACGGGGTGAGACTAGCTTAAGCTACCTCATCCCTTTGTGTGTATTTTACCTCAATAAACTTATTTCAATTTCCATTTCCATTTCCATTTGATGAGGTTGGCAAGCACTTCTATTCAATCATGTTTGGGACCTTTGGAATATTTGACAAGCCGCCGACTTCCTGCCCTCATTGAGTCCAATAATATTAGTGGCCCTCAGGTAAATTCAGGTAAATGTTCTATACAGGTTGCGTCCTCGTGCGTTGGTCTGTAGACAGTAAACAAACAAGTCTCTCTGGCTTGATTTTTAAGCACTAGTACAGTGTTTTCATGGCGTTTTGCATGCATTTTGTACCTTAGCCAAGACGTCTGGGAGGTTCCCGGTAAACGCATCATAGACGGTACATGATCATTATATAAATTTAGGTTGGTATATAATTTATTATTAGCGAGGTCTCCCCCAAACAAAAACATTAAGCACCATTTTCTATAAAACATAAATAAAATTTCAATGGCTAACTAAAGAAAATTCTCCTTCGGCGCCCAATAACCGAATGCAATAAAATAAAGCACAAATGAATATAAGTAATAAACACATAATACAAATAAATGAAAAAAACATTTCTAAGTAAATAGGGGTTATGAATCAAACTAAATTACTGAACCCCGCCCAGGATGGGACCCCACAACAAGCTGATTGACTCCTAGATACCTATTGTAGGTGAACAGGTGCATGAGGTGATAGGAAACCCGCCCAATCATTTCTGTGCCACCAGGAATTCGAACCCGGAATTCTCAATTGTGCGTCGAGAACGAACCCGACTGTACTACTGAGACCCTAATGATATGGGGAGGGGAAACCTTTGACAAGCCACCGGCTTCCTGCCCCCGCTGAGGCCGATTGAGAGAACGTTGCCTTCTGATAAACTCAGATAAATTGATACAATTCAAATTTGTATTCAAAATAATGTGTGTACAGAGAGCATAAGAGTAATGTACAATATTGTAGGAACAAGTGTTTCACAAAAAGGCAAATTTACCTGAATTTACCTGAAAGTCACCATATCTACTGACCCTCAACAGGAACAGGAAGTACCGATCTACCTACAACGGCTTATATCACAAGCTTCTCCACCAACCACTTGGGCTGGACGGTAGAGAGGCTGCCTCGCTTCATGCAGGTCGGCGTTCAATCCCCGACCGTCCACAAGTGGTTAGGCACCATTCCTTTCCCCCCGGCCCATCCCAAATCCTTATATCCTGACCCCTTCCCAGTGCTATATAGTCGTAATGGCTTGGCGCTTTCCCATGATAATTACAAAAAATTACAAGCTTCTGACTTTGGCCAAACTGACCAACATCTAGCAAGATGGAAAGTGATATTAATAATAATTAGTTGTACACTTGCGAATTAATGTGGGCCTTCTCAGAAGGTGGGCCTTCTCAGAAGGTGGGCCTTCTCAGAATGTGGGACTTCTCAGAATGTGGGACTTCTCAGAATGTGGGACTTCTCAGAATGTGGGACTTCTCAGAATGTGGGACTTCTCAGAATGTGGGACTTCTCAGAATGTGGGACTTCTCAGAATGTGGGACTTCTCAGAATGTGGGACTTCTCAGAATGTGGGACTTCTTAGAATGGCCTTAGGACTGTAACACTTAGCGATAGGTTAACCGACCCATTTCATTATCTGTCATAAACCTAATGAGAATATGGAGCAAGTATATTACTTCTTAATAATAATAGTAACTGTAGCAACTATATTAAGTACCCCGCGGGAAAAGTAGGTAATTCAATCTAGGGCGGAGGACTTCTATTCAGTCCTAAAGCATATATACACACAGGCTTCCTGTCTCTGAGAACGGGAATTAAATGCGATTGCTAATGTAAAAGGCCTCTTATTACCTGCATCACATCCGATCTCTCATCAATGCCTTTTTTCCCAATTTATTTATTTCCCTCTAAGCTCTATTCCACAGATAACGTTAACAAAACAGCTGTATTTAAAGATATAACATTATTATATATTAATAATATCAAGAAAATCCTTTTTTAACTTTGAAGTTTGACAATAACAATGCGCCAGAACGGATCAAAGCCAGAGACCTGACCGAGGTTCCGAACACAATGTTTTGCAGCAGACGACGCGCAGCAGACGACAAAATCGAAGTGTGGCAGAGAGCGGGCGTCTGCTGGAGCATTTCAGCAGTATCTCAGGTAATTTCCCAGCCCCACTGCTTCCCTCGTCACCTCCATAGTTTCAGGGACACAGAACTCTACGAACTGCTGAAGGTATATGACTTTAAACGGTATATTACTTTTAGGGGATTTCAGTGCGTACTCCCCAGCAAGAGGATTTAATTTTTTTTTCATTCGTGATGCTGGACGATTATGGAGAGACTCCATCTTATTTTAACATACATGAAATATAATGAATAACCTTCTGTAATATAATGAATAACCTAGAGAGGTTTTCTAGCTACTGAAAGGCTGTTATACATGCTATGGTGGTGTGTTCTCTCAAGAAGTTTGACTGACGTTGCCCAATAAACTCCATTGAGGCAAATTATATATATGTATTTTTATTAGCTTAGTCGAATCATTATTAATTATAATGAAGTATAATACTAGGAACAATGAGTGTCGACATTTCTATCAAGCTAAATGTTGCTGTCATCAATTTGTGCTATATTGATAACTATGTGATTTCAGATATGTATGTCTATGAATATATGTATAGGTATATATATATATATATATATATGTACATGTATGTATGAGTGTGTGTACATGTATATACAACATTAATAATTTTGTAACTAGCGTCAAAAATTGTTATTTGCTTAGCTAAACGAACTAGAGGGTTCAGTTCCTGAACCGATTATGTGCCTCTGTAATCCTTTACACAACCGCCCACGGGATGGGTATGGGGTGCACAATAAAGAAAGAAATTGGAAAAATGTGATTTCAGTATTTGTGATGCATCTTTTATATCATTTTTATTTTATGGTGATTAACATTTGGATTTTAAAACGTTATTTGGGGATGTATAATATGATTGGGTTGTGCTTGTGGGTATTGATAGGTTGCACTCAAGAATTTACATTATTATATAGGGAATACTCACTAGTTTTTTGTTATACATGCTCATAATTTTTTGCATATTGGATGTACAAATTTAAGTATTGTATCTATAATTACTATGGACGGAATATATCAAATCTGGAGTGTTGTACCCCAAGAAATTAATGTTTTATACTATTATAATTCTTAAGAGCAGTACAAACATTAAAACAACCTAATCATAAACCCCCTTATAAGTATGGGTTTTATATACTATAAAACCTATATTTTTATATATAGTATAAAACCTTTTATACTATATATAAAAACATATAATATATTTATATATATTTTATATTACTTAAGAATATTTAAGTATGGGTTTTAACTTTATAGTTAGGAAAAATAAAGTGAATAGTCCCAAATTCTACTATCTAACTGTCCATTATGACTATATATACAATGCTCCACATAGCTACAAAAAGTATTATCTAAACAGGAGGCTGGTTTATAAAATATATAATCTATGTCTAATCCTAGAATAGAAGAATTACAGTTACAGATATTTATGTAGTTTGATTTATTTTTTAACTTTCTTATTTGCAGAGCAAGAACAAATGAAGTTAAAGTTGTACGACACTTTGATCACTGTTTGCACAACGACGCATGAGCGCTCAATTTGTGCTCATCAAGTCAGCGTTGCACGAAGAGCGTTCATCCACATGAGTTTAAAGGCACTGCTCGCTTGCTAAACAGAATATTTGGAGTAAAATTCCCAGTTGTCACTCAAGATCGAAGCATTATTCAGGTACTTAAGATCTCTACAATTTTACAGAGTAGTTCAAAATACATTTGTCTGAAAAAGTATAAAAATAGGATGCTATGATCAATAGGTAATAGAAGATTATACAAATGTAAAATTGTTTCCCCTCCATTGGGTTGGGCAATTGGATTTTGTTAATGATAGCACCAAGTAAGAACTTAGTACGTAAGAATAAGAATAGTAGGAAGAATACCACTCTATTTGAGAAACTGAGCCATATTGAAAAACATTATGAAGCCTTTTTTTTGTGAATCATTTTGGGAATCATGTGAATAATGAACCCTTAAGAGAGATTGTGGATATATAATTGTCATTAATTTGTTTGTTGGGAACAGGAAGCCTGTACTTAGGTTTTCTGAGGTCCCCACCGACCAACTACTGACCTATCCTAGGATGCAACCCCACAACAGTTGTCTTAACTCCTGAGTACCTATTTACTGCCCAACTGTTTCAGTTTTGCCTGTGGATTGAACCCAGATCTCTTTAATGTGAACCGAGGATGTAGACCACTATGCTACTCTTATTAATACAATGCCCTTTTTAAATACAGGCATGTAAGCTGTTTTGAAATTCGGATAAGGTATAAATTATGATGTAACAAGCATTTTATGAGTTCGGCAGTTATGGTGTTCTTCCTGTATTAGATAACAGGCCTTATCGGCCTGTTATCCAAATAAAGTATGACCTCATATGAGTGTATGCAACAGTCACACGGTTTATGAGTTAGTGTACACGTATGAAATACCTGCATTTATTGCAATATGACCAATATGGTCATTGTTCAAGCATGTGGTGAAGTGTGTTTACAGAAACTAGATTCCTTTTTCATATGCACACATTATATATGCTGTACCTAATCACCAGAACCACAGAACTAGGCATAGTAGACAACTCTTTTTATTTAAAAAAGAAAAAAATACCAGCGCTTAATGAAATGATTTCATTATCTTATTTACAGATTTATTTATGCTTTGTTTTACCTGCAGTATATAAGGGATCAAGGGAGGCAGTAGATGTGCGAGTCATTAGGGCAGTTGGTTTTGTCGGCAGCCGAGTCTGCCGGTACAGTAGTTGGTCGGGGACTGCACACAGTCAGCCTTGCCTATAGTTAGCGGGACCTCGACATACTCACAGGCTTTCTGTCCTTAACACTGGTATATCATACCATATTTAGGACAGATCAGGCTGCTATGTTTTGGTTCAAACATCATTTTTATATGCTGTGTAATAATCTGAATATATCTATTAATGCGCAAGTTACAAATTTCTAAAAACGTAAATTTTAAAGGAGATTCGGTTAGTTGAGTAATTCTGGCTGCGAGGTACAACATATTATATATACTGTACACACATCTACATATACCTATGCCCTGTAATATTATGTCTCATGACATGGATGCCCTTTGGGCTCTTGTTTCCAGATATGGTGTCTTTCGCAAAATACAGCTTGGTTCCCATGGAGGAACCAAAGGAGGCACAAGATATTACACAGTCAAGGGTCTCGGGAGCCTTTGATTACAATTCGGCATTCAGCTACAAATCAGCATTTGACTACAGCAAAACTCCCAGTCAGTACCAGTCTGCATTCGACTATGGCTATGGCCACAGGGGTCACTCAGTTTCCCTCAATCTTGGGGAGAAGGGTTTGTAGAGGCAATTGATTCATGTTGTGTGTCTAGTTGTCTAGCCATGCAGTAGCTTTCATCTTTTTTTTTTTTGGCAACTATCATTTTTCTCTGGTAAGTACTTAGGCAAGGGTCATATTCTGGAATATTTTTAAGCTTTGGAATATATTCAAGATTATTTGAATCCACACACTCTTGGTATTCCATCCCATCCTCATAAACAAAGGCCAAAGTCCATCCCATGCATCTGCCAAACCCCGCTGTTTATGAATGAAAAACGGTTTACACACGACTCACAACTGCTGACGTCCAAACACTTCCAGAACAAGTACTTCGCTGACGACTTTTGTTTAACCACAACACTGTAAATGTATCATCCACATACTACAAATACAAATAATTGCCAACAGAACCTAAACATCTACCCTAACCAGTACCTAAATATGCACAATATGCTAATATATAATATTAATTTATATACGAGAAAACTATTTTGAATGAACAGCATGTTAAATTGATGAATGCGGCTTTGGGGTCGACCTCTGGATGGAATGGGCTTGGTCTGAGGACGTGTTGGGTATTCCCAAGCCCATACCTTAGACTTCTACAATATTCAAAATCCTACTATATCTACATTTACAGCTGAGTCAAGATAGGGCTAACAGCTGTCAGTTACATTTCTACATGTAAACACAAAAAGACTATTTTTGTTAGTCTAATATCACTGATTACTAGAGGGCATTTCTAGAATTAATTATCACCTGGATATGACCCATTTAATTGTATTTCTTGTTTGTCTCACCTTGTACTGGAGGGGTTGAAGACAAATTCCTCTGTCATAAGCCCTATACACTCCTTATACTCATCCCTATACACTTCTTATACACATCTCTATATACATTCCCCATACACATTCCTACACACTCGCCTAGAAATGTGTCACTCTCCCAAAGCAAGGCTGGTCTCTAATGTGAGCTTTCTAACCAATACACTGATACTTTTCTCTTCTATATATTTCACTGCTATCGGTTTTTTCTGATGAACCTCTTTAAATCTTTAGAGTATGCTTTTCAGTAAGCCTTAAGTGTGATAGTGTATGTCAGGGCTGGCAAGGCATTATTTACCAAGTAGAGCATCGTGGTATGTGTGTGTCCTATTTTCATGTGATTGCCCTTTGGTAGTAAAATTAATAAATTCTGATGTTATGAATGTTCTGTAAATAGGTGTGGTTATATGTATATATATACCGTAGAACCTCGAGTGACAAGCGCCTCAATTGGTGAGCAATTTGGGTAATGAGCGCCCCGATCGCCGACAATTCGTCTCGTTTGGCGAGCGCTCGTTTGAATAATTCTTCGAGATAGTTAACAATTCTTCGCGGCAGGGGATCGTATTCCAGGGACCATAGGATTAAGGACTTGCCCGAAACGCTACGCGTACTAGTGGCTGTACAAGAATGTAACAACTCTTGTATATATCTAAAAAAAAAACAAAAAAAACAAAAAAAAAATGACAACACCACATGGTGAGCTCGCACGGCTTCTCGCACATTCTCGGACGCCTCCGACGATGCAAATAAATTATCTTTTTTTGTTTAAAGATGCTAATGATGCTGGGATGTAAAGGGGTGACTGCTGTGATGTTGCAAAGCATCGATTTTTTTGTAGAAAAAAGAAATGATTTTAATAAAAAAAAAGAACAAATGTCAAAAAGATTCGTTCGGTAGGTAGGTAGCTCCATGTTTCTTAAAAAAAAAAAAAAAAAAAGTTGAAATAATTTGAGAAACGGACAAATGCCATACAGGTTCGTTCAGTGTTTGTCGGATAGGCTGCTCCATTATTGAGAAATAAATGAAAAATACAAAACAAATGGAACACATTTGAAACAAAGAAAGATTGTCATAATGGAGCAGCCTACCCGACAAACAGTGAACGAACCTATATGGCATTTTTCCGTTTTTTAAATTGTTTCAACTTTTTTTTTTTAAAGAAACATGGAGCAGCCTACCTGATAAATACCGAACGAACCTTTTGCTCTACGAAATTTTTTTTTTTTTTTAACAAATTTGAAGAAAGAAAAATGTCATAAAAATTTGTTCAGTGTATGTAAGGTAAGCTGTTCCATTATTTAAAACATCGAATATCATATTGATGTTTTTCGGTGGTAGAACGGATTAATTTGATTTCCATTATTCTAAATGGGGAAATTCGTTTTGAAAGATGAGCGTTTCACATAACGAGCTCTGTGTCGGAACGGATTAAATTTGTTATTCGAGGTTCCACTGTACATATATAGAGTACATCAATGTTGTTATCCAGATTTTTGTTTTATTCTTGAGTGTTTGCTAATATAATAATTCTATTTTTTCTTTATAAAGACAACCTATTGCACTGATGAAAACAAGCCATGCCACGGCAGCTGATTAATGGAATACTCAGGAAGTGATTGTCATTATTAAAAAATAGATTTTCAGGATTATAGTTGATAAAAATCATAAATCTATGGTTTAAAGATAAAGCTTGCAAAGTCATTATTTTTTTCAGAATAGAGTTTATTTAACCACTGTGCTGCCCCAACCGAAAAAATCTCGTTCTGAGAGTTGTACTTTTTTTTTTAATTAGGCTGTATTTTAATGTTTTTCATTGTTTTCATCACTTTGTGTTTTGAAATGAAAATAGTTGAGTTTGGAAACATTTTGACATTACCTGAACATTTATAAAAACAACAAAAATATGTCCTTAACAATTGCACTGTGAAGTTTTTGCCAAAAACAGGTGCGCAGTGCAGGGGTTAAGTAATCTGGCAGGCAAATGTGTTCAGTCAGAACATAACGTCAAGAAAGCCAAGCCAGTCTCATGGTTTTCTTGTTCTCTTCTGTAAAGAAAATATGCTTGTCTTATAATTGACTTAATGTTGATCATGCTACTTGTCATATAATTATCTAATTCCTTAATGTGAAAACTGTGATTTTTGGTGTTACCTTATGTGTTTAATTAAATATTCTGGAATAATTTCTGCAAGTAAATGCAGTAATATATCTAAAATTTACTAATCTAATTGTCAAATTATGCTTTAACTAAATTGTATTTAGAGTGAAATATGGTTTTCTACAATGTATTTTATGTTTTGAGAAGCTAGATCTGTATTATTGATAGTGCATGGCTTTATATTTGTCATGTTGAACAACTGAAATTGGTCTCTAGATACTTGAGAATATTCATTTATATTTAATCCAATATTTGGTCATGGCTTCACGTTAAATTTGCCCGGCGGCTTTATTATTTTTCATACTGTTCACTTTTAGCAAATATTACCACAAACTATCCATTATATTGTTTTTTTATTTGTCATTTATTGTAACTACTACAAAGCAAGACATTAAGTGTCAAGTATCATTAAGTATCAAGTGTCTCCCATTGTTGCTTGATATTGATTTTGCATCCAACTTAAAACAAATTACTTGTGAGTGAGTGAACAGGAGTGAGTGAACAGGCACACTTCTGGAGAGAAACCAAAATACCAAGCTAGCAGGCATGAAGAGCTGCATAGAAGCCCACACTTGTCATCTGCAGGAGAATGAACAGGCACACTTCTAGAAAGAAACCAAAATACCAAGCTAGCAGGCATGAAGAGCTGCATAGAAGCCCACACTTGTCATCTGCAGGAGAATGAACAGGCACACTTCTAGAAAGAAACCAAAACAGCAAGCTAGCAGGCATGAAGAACTGTATAGAAACCACCGTAAAACTAAATAAAAAATAAATATTAAAAATAGACCACCGTAAAACCCTTATGATCTATAGATATAGCCACAAACCAAGCACAGGCGATTCCACACTGATGCAAAGGAGATCACCTGAGGGCAGCCAAGTGTCTTGCAAAACCAACATAAGGACATGTTGGCCATCCATACCATAGCAATGGAGCAGAAATAAGAGAAACTGTCTGCAAGCATGATGGACATGCTGCACATGTGAACCACACAAAGACACACCACAAATCCTGATAATTGAGAAGGCATACTATCCACTGAGTCCAGCCCAACAATAGAAAAAGACTGATGTAACCCGCCTGAATTAAGACATTGAACCACTAGAAAGCAGTTAGAGTGGAGTCAGTCCACAGAGTGCGTAGGAAGATGAATGAGCTTAAGAGCATGTCAATAGGTAGCCAATTTCTGAACCATACATTTTATCAAGATCGATACTGTACTTCAATGCTAAAATCAGTGCAGTGAAGTTATGCAGATTGGCTTGTGTTTATCTATCATAGTACATTTTATGTAATGAATTATTATTAATTTAGCCCTTTTATTTTCTGTTGAGATATGGAATTCAGCAATTGTTCAGCAAATGTTATATTACAACTTATTAATTATAGGCTTAAGTGGTTGACTGTCATACCTGATAGGAACTGGAGGAATACTCAACGCTTCTTCTAAACTTCTTCATTGTTGGATACACAGACCTAGCCATTCAAGGTCCCACCTGCTCTGGTCTCCGATTTGAACCGAGGGGGCAGCCTACACATGCCATCCTACAACAATTTAGGATACAGATGGACATGTGCTATGCATTCGACACTTCACACTAGGGAAATCAATTTCATCATCCACAACTGTGTGATATTTGTAATGCATTAGTCTCCACTCTTTTTTTTTTTATTTTTTTATTTTTAGGTCCTACCTCAAGTGTTGATGCAAGCAGAATGGAAAGTACACTTAAGGCCAGGGCTAAGAGATCCAAAAGATCTTTGCCACAGTTGCCTAAAGGCTCAACTTACTTGGAAGGTCAGGTATTCTTTGATGTTCACTTGGAAGCCTTATTGAACACAACACGTAGTCTTGCCTCAAACTCACCAAGTGTCATTTCTAATGTTTGTGTGTCTATCCAGTTAGGACTCAATTTAGGATAGAATTTGGCATGAGCATTCCCAGTTCTATATTCAGTTGGAAATTCAAAGGGAAGAAAGGGCCAGAAACTTATCATGCACTCTGGGCTGGACAGGAGAGCGGCGGTCTCACTTCAATCCCCGACTGTCCAAGTGGTTGGGCAACATTCCTTTCCACCCCCCCATCCCATCCCAAATCCTTATCCTGACCCATTCCAAGTTCTATATCGTCATAATGGCTCGGCACTGTCTCCTGGTTGGAGAGTAACAATATTAAATGATTTGCAGCACATTTTGAATAAATGACACATTACTGTTATGGATCCAATACACTTGCATCATTTATGCCTGAGATGCCATTCAGGAAAGAATAAGTGATAAGTATTCCCTTTCTAGACCTTAATATTCCAATGATTGTCCTAAAAAGTTGGTGACACAAACAGTAAATATTGAGGCTTTAAACTGCTCCTACTGATGTGTTCTATTCCAGAGGGGCCTCATTTATTATGACTATGAAAATAAGGAGTCTGTCAGACACTTTGTTAGAAAATGGATACCGCTCTGACACAAGAGTCCCTCTCCTTGCTACGTATTGTATTTTCCTCAGGCAAGATTTATAAGGATGACAAACGGGAACATCAAATCTAACACTTCCGTTCCATAACAATGGTTTGATTTGATCCTAATTGTCCAATTATAGATTCTTACCACATTGAATTAGGTTGTATTTATCCACTTAATCAAGTAGGAACAGAGAAGAAGCTATCTCCCTTAGATGTTAGCTCTTTGCATGGGGTGACGGCTTAAGACGCTCCATTTTATATACACAACAAAAGTGTCAACACCGGCTACTAACAGAAACGGGTAACTAGCACCATTGTTTAACAAGCTAGCTACAGAAGTGAATGTAAAGCAAGTTTTTTACCCGAGGGCCACTATAGCTCTGGTGGCCATTACGTGGACACGAAGCTGGTGGCATTGTCAAAGGTCCGTCCATTTGTCCTGTGATTTTATTGAGCCAAATTTTAATATTCTCCCATCCTCTTTGAAATCAAATAAGAGAGCCAATTGGCCCATTTACTCGTGTAACCACTCCAGGACGGTAGAGTGACGGTCTCACTTCATACAGGTTGGTGTTCAATTCCCCAACCGTCCAAGTGGTTGGGCACCATTCCTTCCCCCGTCCCATCCCAAATCCTTATATCCTGATCCCTTCCAAGCGCTATATAGTCGTAATGGCTTGGTGCTTTCCCTGATAATTCCCTACCCCTCCAGGAAAACAATAATTACCAGTAGGGGAGGAGACAACAGGGATTCAGAGGCGATTAGTCTGAAGATGATTGGCCATTTTGTGTAGTCTCTTGTGGTCTGCCTTGAACATTTAATCTCAATTTGAAACAATATGTATCAAGGAACAAATCATTAAAGATTCAACTGAATATCTTTCCAGTCAGCAAAAAGCAATTCTAACACTAGAAGAATGAATTTAGACCTGTAATATTGGCAAACTCATAATTGCATTTAATGTTCCAATTCCTGTATGACCACAGTTAAAACGGTAAAAAAACAGGAACCATAGATAATATCTATAGATCTCAAAGCTACTTGCACATTTAAATAAATTAGCAGTTTAGAGCACATTTGTATTTTTAGATTATGAACCAATGTTATCATTTTAAAAGATGGGCTTGTTGGTTTTGATACAGTTTACTCTGTAACAACTCTTGATGTATCATTTTGCTTAATGCACAGCACTTTTGTGTACTATAGTGTACTCAAGGGTGCTACCTTACCTTGAGGTGCTACCTTGAGGTGCTTCCCGGGCTTAGCGTCCCCGCGGCCCGGTCATTGACCAGGCCTCCTGCTACACTACATGTACTCTATGTTCACTTGAGATGGCACATTGCATCTTCCACACATGTGTTTTCTTGCCTTGAACCTTACCACTAGCTTTCTTGGGACCCATGGCAAGATATATAATAACTTTTATGCTCAAATAGCCAAAAATCCGAAAAAAATGTAAATCCTTGCAAAGAATTCAGGCGGGATAGTCACTTGGTGGGAGGCACTGGTAAACTGAGGCGCTATCGCCGTGTCACCATGCGCTAGGTCGCCCATACGCATATCAACAAAGTCGTATCCCGAGGTAAAGTTTGTAACCCGATTAAAATTTTCCGAAGAAATCGGACTCATAACCTGAAAAGTTCGCAAAGAGAGCATTCGTAAACTGAGGTACCACTGTATAAATGTGATATTCATTTGTTAATTAAACGTGTTACAAACTGAATACTAGTCCTTAATTTGATTTAATGGTTAATATACATCATATATGCACTGTATTATTAGTCACATTGCATTGTGTGCATGTAGTGTACAAAGGTGTTTATTGTGAAAAAATTCATGGATGTAGCATATTATTAGATAAAAACAGTAATGTGCCTGAGGAAATAATGAATGCCTACATTATTAAATTAGAAAATAAATGTTTATTCAATCTGTAGTTAAATTGTGTGACTTTAAAAATGAAAATGTGCCGTATCTTTTTGTTTTTAAAACATTTAATGATTTTATTTCCGTTTTACATTTTTTGTACTGTACTTTTTTATAATAAGAATGTTTGTGTTTAAGATTCACTGAATAAACAGTTACATACATGACAATATTTCTTTGTACAGTATTTAAGATTCACCAAATAAAGTCACAAGTATGACAATATTTCTTTTCATTTAAGATTCGCTGAATAAATAGTCACATGTATCACAATATTGTCATTGTTTTTCAGATACTGAACAGAAAAAGAAAAAGTTTGCAAACTGGAGTATCATGAACTGTTTAGCGACGCTCGTTACATGGCTCAGTTATTTCTTCATAGCGCTCACATTCCCAGTCACCCTTTGGTTCTGCTTCAAGAAATTAGCTCAGTGGGAGCGTCTTATCGTCTTTCGCCTCGGGAGGTTACGAGGTGCACTGGGGCCCGGCTTGGTGTTCATAATCCCTTGGCTAGATCATCATACCCGTGTCGACATGAGAACCAAGGCTTTCTCTGTGCCTCCACAACAGGTAAATAGATCCATTTCAGGCTGCTTATTTTCTTGCTAGAAGTCTATCAGTGTGTTAAAATATGTACTTGGTCATTTGACTTCTGAGGTTAATTTCAGAGAAGCAATTGTGTTTTTTCTGGCAAAATTAATTTAAAGCTTTAGTATTGTAGAAGTAGTAAGCATCCTGGAGTTTCGGGAGACTATGGAGTTGCGTTCGGGTTGTCAAGACTGAGGTGTCCTCTCCAGGGCGCAAAGCCAGGGTAAGTCGATATGGAGGAGAAGCTGTTACCCATGCAGCAGGTCCCTCCCTCTCCACGATGATGAAATTGTCCAATGGAAATGCAAACGCGTGTTGATAATCATTAGATTGCCTAAAGTATACCAATTATTGAGGCACATTATGAAATACTGCACTATGGTTCACTGGATGTGCATTCAGCTTTCTTAGAAAACACAAGTGATTATTTTTCAGACAAATCATATTCTATGGATTTATTTTATTTGTTGCTTTTATAATTAGTTTAGCTCTTTTAGTTTGGCTATCATCATAACTGCATTATCCTGTAAATCAAGGTATAATATGATGATTTAAACTATTATCATCATCTGGGTTTTAAACAATGATGCTAATATGGATGTAATAGCTGTCTATGGATGTAATGGAGTTTACCTTGACTAGTGAAACAACGTCCTGCTATTACCTGGTTGATACCTGGTTGAGTACATTGCTCTTGCTTCATGATTCCTGACACCCCCTCAATTGTGCAGTTATCACCTCATGTTGATTCATGAGGTAATGTGGTTATCGTCATACATTAATTTAAACTATTATTGTCTGGGTTTCATAACAATAATGCTAATATGGATATAATAGGTTTATATGGATACTGTATAGTGGAGTTTACCTGAACCCAAGAAAAAAAATCTTGCTGTCGTTTCACGATTGTTTATCGATGTAAGTGAAGTTTTCGTTGCAAATGTTACTATGCCAATGTGGTGGCTAAGTGGCAGCTTCATCATCAGCTGCTTGTGCTTTCTGCTACCTTTATTGTGGAGGGCACGTACATAGCATTTCCAACATTTCATAGATGGTTTATCTCGGTTCTGTCCCATTTTTACAGAATGGATCATTGATAACATGTCCTTTCAGTGGCTTTGTGAAATGTTTGGTTGCCCCAAGGTGGATCTCTCTGTATCCGTGGCTCCACTTTCCCGATTGCAAGTCTCTTCTGGTGGATGCTTTTCAGCTGGATTGATGATGGTGGGGGTGCATTTACCTCTTCCTACCATTTCAGTTACTGCTCTGGGTTCTTTCCATTCTAGAGTCGTTTTTTGGGGGGAAGATGTTCCTTCTGGCTCCTTGGTGGCTGGTTCAACCTTGTTTTCTGGCTCTTCTGCCCCAGTGGGCATTTTCTTGGGGCTCTTGCTTCTTTAGCGGATCGGTCCAACAACATACCTTGCTGTTTCAACCTTCTCCTTTTCAGTCTGGACTTTCTGATGCAGGTCTATCACTGATTTTATGGCATGCATGCGACTGTATAAATCTCTGGTGAGCCCCCACTGGATTATTGTATCCAAGTTTGTAGACTTCTTCAGAAAGTCATAGCTGCACTGGAGACCGTTCAACACCAGGTAACAAAAATCATTCCAGAACTAAGTCAACTCTTATACCAGGAATGGTTAAAGGCCACAGGGCTAACAACACTGCAAACCAGGCATGACAGGGCTGATCACATTGAAACTTTTAAAATACTGAACAATTTGGAGGATACTAATCCAGACAACTTCTTCAAAAGGTCAAATATATCACAGATGAGGAACAACAGTTTCAAGCTCAATAAACCACAATGTAGGACTGAGAAAGAGGATATGCTTTTTCACCCACAGGGTTATAAAACCATGGAAACTCCTACCTACGGAAGCCGTAAATGCCAAAACTTTGTTGAATTTTAAAATCCAGCTAGAAAAATCATCAGGACAAATGAGGGATCTTTGACAAGCCACCAGCTTTCTATCTTCGTCGAAGCCACTAGTGTTGTGTACAGCGGCAGTGGTTTGTCGCTACCTGTTTCAGTGGATGTTTTGTGGGGGGTGATCCTGTTTCCTTGATCCCCTGTTCCAAGGCTTATATATCTCAGGTTGTCCGCAATGTCATTAAGTCTAGCAACCCTACTGTTCACCTTTGTGCTCATGACATTCACAAATACATTGCTCTCTCTGCGGTCATTTCTAGTATGTTTTGGGGGATATTCGAGTTTGGGGATTTTGGCGGTCAAACAGGGTCATGGTGACCAGGTATTTAGTTGGTGTACCTGGTCCTCGTCGGTCTTATGTTGTCTTGGACTCTGTTTCTCGGCAAATTGTCCTTCCTTTAGATTAGTACCTGCTGCCTCCCCTCCTCACTGATAAGTCCCTCATTTTTTCTCTGTGGTTATTTAGCTACAGGGAGCCACCAAGAGGCTTCCCCCACAACTTATCCTCAGGCCAGGCTTGTTAAAGCTATGGCCATGCCCTAAGATGCATTGAATCAATTTTAACATAGTCTATGAAAAATAGGTTTGTTCTCATCTATATCAATGTTAGTGTATATGAAAGTTCTATGTATAGTGGTGTGGGTTAAGTGTTGAGGTTCTGTTGGCAATTACTTGTAGTACTGTATGTGGGTAAAACGTTATAGATTGCAGCTCGAACAGTGATTGTCAACGAAGCACAGTTCAAGATATGGTAGAACGTCATCAGTTGTGAGTGGTGTGTAAACTGTCATTCATAAAGAGAGGGTTTGTTGACTGGATTAACGAGCATTTGGTTTTTGTTCATGAGAACGAGTTGCTCCCAGAATCCCAGCATTGAATTTAATGAAATGTGTCTTTCTGGCATAGTCCCAATGGCTCTTTGTTTTCCTCCCTCTGTTCTAGGTTCGTTGGTTTGTTGAGATAGGTTTTATTTGCTTTAGAATTGACTGTTGAGCCTGACAGAGGACCGAGTTCCAGGCAGCAATCGGTACTATTGGGCTGAAGTTATTTTGAAGTGAATTATTTTGTTTCAGTTGAATCGGTTGGCGAGTTGTTTGGCAATTTTAAGGCTTCAACTCACGTGAACCCAGCAATTGTCTGTAAAGCTTCACTGACTTTGTGGATGCTTTTCCAGTGATTGGTAGAATATCATTTGTGTTCTGTGCCCCAGTGAGGACAGTCAGATTCTGGCTCTGGTCTCCTGTAAGCCAAAGAGAACTACAACTGATGTGACTTATCTGGAGCAATCTCGACAAGATAGCTACAGAGAGCTACTGGAGTTCCACCAGAAAGACGCATTTCACTATATTCAATGCTTTTTTTTTTTTTGCAGGAAAATAGTTTCTGATATGAATTATAAACATACAAACATACAAGCTTCTCTTTGGGTTATGGGAATATTAAAAAAAAGTATAACTTCATATTGACCAAACCACACACTAGAAGGTGAAGGGACGACGATGTTTCAGCCCGTCCTGGACCATTCTCAAGTCGATTGTGTTTCGGTCCAGGACGGACCGAAACGTCGTCGTCCCTTCACCTTCTAGTGTGTGGTTTGGTCAATATAATTTAGCTACGTTATTGTGACTCATCGCCTGCAGTATAACTTCATATTAAGAGAGTATTTGGAAAATTTAAATAGAATTGAATTACTGTACTTGGAACACTTTAATATTTATACTAAAGTGTTCCAAGAATATATAATGAGTATTTAGAATAAAATCCTGAAATTAATTTGACTACGCCATTATTTTTATTGCAGTTAATCACAGCTGATAATGGGATAATAGAGATGGGCTGTGAGGTGAAGTATCGGATCAGTGATGTACAGCGACTGACCATTTCAGTTACATCCCCGGAGCATGGCTTGCGATCATTTGGAAAAACAGTTATGCTGAATGTTCTCACCAAGAATACTGTCAGGTTAGAAGTGCAATTACAATATGTGAACAGTGACCAGAGTTAATGTTGTGCATGCATCACCATCATGCTGTATTTAAGGCTAGGAGAGTACTGTATTGTTATTTTTGCATCTTAAGAAGGTTTGTTTCCACACTTACAATTCTGGGGAATCTTGGTGTTCATTAATTATGCCGAGCTGTATACAGAGGTGTTAAATTATGCTGTATACTGTATATCTCACAATATGGGTGATCCCTTCAAGAAACTATGGCATTCACAGTTACCTTGCATCTTAAACATTCCAGGGGGAAGCCTCCCAGTGGCTCCCTGAAGCTATCTTGCTGAGATTGCTGTATATTAAAAGGGCACATCAGTCACAGAAGTTCTGTTTGGCCTACCAGGGTACTGGAGCTAAAACACGACCTCCTCACACAGCACAGGGAGGGAGTGAGTGACAATTCGCCTCCTCACTGGAAAAAAAGTACAGGTACTGTACTCGGAAAAACTCGCTGGTCAGGAGTGCTGCCTGGGGCTGGGCTGTCTGGTGGTGGTGGTGATTGGCACTAATGTGTTTTGAGCTAATTTGAGTGCATCCTTTTTTTTTCTGTGTGAATTGTTTGCAGAGTTGTTTGTCGGTTTCAAGAATATATATTTTGTGAACCTTCCAGTTGTCTGTAAAGCTTTGCAGACTTCCTGAATGCTTTTTCCGGTGAGGCAGCAAATTGTCTTAAACTTCCTGTGTGTCTGCCCAACCATTTGGGCTGATTGGTAGAACGACAGTCTCGCTTCATGCAGATTTTCGTTCAATCCCCAACCGTCCTAGTGGTTGGACACCATTCCTTTCCCCTGGCCCATCCCAAATCCTAATCATGACCCCTTCTAAGTGCTATACAGGGTATAGTCATAATGGCTTGGCATTATTTCCCTGATAGTTCCCTGCCTCCCTGTGCCTTTGTTGAGGGGGCCAGTGTCTGGCTCTGGTCCCAAGTACACCAAGCAGAACTTTTGCAACTGGTGTGACTGTTACCTGAATTTACCCAGGGGCCACTAACACACTAGTGTCCTCAATGAGGACAGGAAGCCAGCCAAAACTTCTTATGATTTTTTCAAATTGGATTTTTAAGTTCAGCAGAGTTTTGACATTTACGGCTTTGGTGGGTAGGCAGTTCCATGGGTTTATAACCCTGTGGGGTGAAAAAGCATCTCCGGTTTTCAGTTCTACATTGTGGCTTGTTGAGCTTCAAATCGTTACTCCTTGACTGCATTATATCTGACATTTTGAAGAGGTTGTCTGGATCAGCATCCTCCAAATTGTTCAGTATTTTGAACGTTTTGTTGAGATCAGCCCTATCATGTCTGGTTTGCAGTGTTAACCTTGTGATCCTCAACTTGTCCTGGTATGAGAGTTGACTTAGTTCTGGAATTATTTTTATTGCCTGGTGTTGAACTTTCTTCAATGAAACCATGTCTTTCTGAAGATAAGTCTCCACGCCTGGATCTAATAATCAAGGTGGGAATGCACCAGACTTATACAATTGAATGACCATCTTTCACTTTAAGGCAAAGGTATGCTTGATTATTCATAGGGTTTGGTTAAATTTTTTTTAACTGCCACTCCCATTTGTTGTACAACTTTCAGTGAATGATGGATTCTAACTCCAAGGTCCTTTTCTTTATTAATCTGCTGCCAGGTAATTATGTTAATTTGGTAGTTGGGACGTGGATTGTTATGCCCCTATGCAAGGTCTTGCTATTTATCGATATTAAATAGCATTTACCAGCCCTTTGACCATTTTTGGAGTTTATGTAGATCTTTTTGTAAGGCTTCAATATCATTTTCACTTCTCACTTTACCTTAAATCTTAGTGTCATCTGCAAATTTCATGGTTTGTTCATATTTTAGTATGAAACAATCTCAGCAAGATAGCTTCTAGGAGCTACCGGAGCCTCTCCAAAATGAAGTATATGAATACATTCAATGCTTGGGTTTTTAGTGTTATTGTGAATACAGGACTCATTATATAGAAATATTAGAGTTGCTTAGACTCTATGCAACTTTGATTATGTTGTACACTATTATTTATTAACCCATTCACCATCATAGACACTCCTGTTAAGAAAAAACAAAATTTCTTAATGCAATTACATCACATTTGTGTTTACCGATATGTAGGCCTACCATAATTTTCTATATAAATAAAATATTCTTGTCATTATTTGACCGTTCAGATTAAGTGTGTGTTGCATTTTGCCAGCTATAGAACAGTCTTATATGCTGATGCACAGTTGTTAATTACTACCATTTATTTAATATTATATATGTTTCAGAGAGACGGAACGAGACCGGCCCATGATTGCTTCACAGATCCAAAAGGAGCTCAATTTGAGAGTTCTTGAGTGGGGTATTGAAATTGGAGAAGTAACGCTGTAAGTATTCTCTGCCGTCCATAAAACCTAAATTCAAAGATTATTCTAAGGCAGTGAGCTAGTATAAAAACACACATTCACTTTTATGTACACATTATCATGAGCACTTCATATACATCCTCTATGTACTATTTTATCTCATTAATTAGGACATCATGTAAATTATAATTAAAACTGTGGATACTTTTGTTTACAACCTTCCCTTATACTTCGGTACAATTGTTGTTATTTAAATATTTTTCTCATGTAGGAGCACAGTCAACATTCTCAAGGAAGCCGAGCCCAACAATCCGCTGAAGCCCATCATTAATTGCTTCGGGGGAGGAGGAGGGGAAATCATTGCCCCGCCTGGATCAGCCGGCTCCACAGCCTCTGCAATGTTTAACATTCCTGGGCTTGGAAACATGGGGGATTTCAACTTCCTCAGTGGCAGTTCAAAAAAAAAATCAGAAGCCATTGGTAAGTTTGTACAATCAATTAAAAAAAAAATGAATACTTAGGAACCTGATGGAGTAAAGTTTTTGCATGAAAATTTGGAAAATTACTCAAGGCATTAGTAGGTCCATTTATGCTTACTTTATAATTACAGCCTTTAATTTCTGCCATATTTGTTTTCTGCATGAATTATATACTGTATATATATCCCTTATTGTGATTCACTATTCATAGGTAGCTTTTCAAGCTCCAATAGATTGCAAAAGTAGTACAAAATATACCATATAAAACAAAAAAATCCCAACCTAGCATTTCCTGAAATGTTACGTACTGTATATGTATTAACGACTTTACGAGAAAGTGCCCAATTTAATATTTTGTATAATCTTAATTCAGTTTTTATTATTCACTCTACTAATTTGTATGGTTTATGTACTGTACTTGCCTGCATTGTTACAAAAACTTTATATGCCTTTTTTACAAATAAAGTAAATTAATATAAATCAAAAATGCAAATACAAAATTTCAAAATATACAGTAATATATTTTATTTTGTGTATTCTACCGATATACTCTACTGGTCTATAGTGTATGTGACTCCAGTTTATGTAACAGGGAAAAGTTTACAACATTTTAAATGGTCAACTTCTTATCTTCCAACATATCCATAAATTTAAACAAAATTATACAATACTCTATAGTAAAATAAACATTTGATTTTACAGTCAGATAAATAATGATTTTCTTTATATTTTGCATTACATTGTATGGGAATAAAATGAGGACATAGTCAACTATTTGATATATGATTGGAAAAAATACAGTCCTGAATTTTGGAAGAGTGCATCGTGGCCAAGTAACTTTGATGGCTGTGGTATGGATACAGTGCTTCCTTAGATCATGAAACTTAATTCCTTGAGGTATCACGAATGAAACATGTTTTAATTCGTGATAAGTGAATTAAAGTACTATTGTATATGGTGTAAGAGATTCCCAAATGGAGCCTGACAGCTGAGGAGACAGCACTCGGGATTCGTAGTCCTGAGATTCCGTGTTCGATTCCCGGTAGAGGAGGAAACAAATGGGCAGAGTTTCTTTCACCCTGATGCACCTGTTCACCTAGCAGTAAATAGGTACCTGGGAGTTTGATAGACATCCCTAGGAAGCAGGCCGTAGTAGCTAAGATAATGGAGGCCTGGTCGAGGACCGGGCTGCAGGGACGATAAGCCCCGAAATTATCTCAAGATAACCTCAAGAAGATCACCTTGGAGCCTAGGGGATCAGAAGTCAACCTAAAGTTGAGGAATAGCTCATAAGAATGGATTCACAACAAAACAAGAGACTGCCTGAAGAAACTAGGAACAAAATGTAAATAAGGCAAATGTTCATTGTCTCTGGGTAAATACCTTAGTCTTGATGTGCCCGACAGCCACCAGATGGCATCCCAGATCACACGAGGGATCTGCCAGTCTGCCACCTTACTCCCTCTCCTGGCACCATTTTCTACAGTTGTGTAGTGGCAGAATTTAATAACAATTTAAACAAGTATACATATGCTAGTTATTATATAGGTATTTACACGATTTTTCCAAGTTATCCCACTTGGTTGCCCCATATGATAGGATTGCAGAAGAGGAGTCACAATAACGTGGCTGAAATATGTTGACCAAACCACACACTAGAAAGTGAAGGGACGATGACGTTTCAGTTCATCATGGACCATTCTCAAGTCGATTGTGAGAATAAGATTGTGAGAATACAATCGACTTGAGAATGGTCCAGGACGGACCGAAACGTCGTCGTCCCTTCACTTTCTAGTGTGTGGTTTGGTCAACAAGATTGGATTCTTTTTGGTGTCATAAACAGGATCATGATGTCTGGATAGGTTGATATTTTGCCCAAGAGTTTTAGAAGTTATTTGAAATATATCTGCTGGGATCATACTAGTGGTAGAAAGACACTGGAATCACCAATCACCTATAACAGTTTCATTCTTAAATACTTTGATTTTGACAAGGTATGGTTAGGGCCTGCCAATAACTTTTGTCTCCATCTCAAGGCTTCTTCTTCACCCTTTGTGGCTGGGTTAAGAGTCTGGTAAGCGATTATTGGTTATTTACCAGTTGTTTGCCTCCCTATGCTGTTAGACATGCTGCCAGTAAATGGTACTAGGATGGGCAAACCAATGCTTGAAGCTACCAGGTGGAGTACCATTTGCATTGATGACAAAATTTATACACTACTGGACTCAAGTTTTCAGCATATGCCCTTCTAGTTAAAATGACTTGAAAGCGAGTTCTCAGGTTTGGAAGTTCTGTGAACCTTTGTCGAATTATCATTCCATTCTGGGACTGGATGGCTCGTATGCATAGTGTCAATATCCAGGATAGCAGCTGCATAGAGCTTAGGTATTAACAAAAGTCACAGCTTCATCTATGAATCTGATGCTATTAATCTTGAAGCAATCTGGTGAGTGCTGCATAGTGTTATCAATGAGCTATATCCATGCATGACCAAAGGTCACATGGTATAGGTGAAATTGGAATGCGATATATAGTAATTGGAACGTAGCCACTACATGGAGGACAGCAACACTTTTTAAGTAAACTGCAGTGCAACATGAGGAGACCAGACAGCAATGTTGGTCATACAGACAGCGGTGGTCTAGTGATGGAGTACGCGACTGGTAATGCCGAGCGGTGGTCTAGTGATGGAGTACGCGACTGGTAATGCCGAGCGGTGGTCTAGTGATGGAGTACGCGACTGGTAATGCCGAGCGGTGGTCTAGTGATGGAGTACGCGACTGGTAATGCCGAGCGGTGGTCTAGTGATGGAGTACGCGACTGGTAATGCCGAGCGGTGGTCTAGTGATGGAGTACGCGATTGGTAATGCCGGAGTCATAGGTTCGCGCCCACCCATAGACCCATAGGACCCGGCGTCTCATAGGGAAACCCAAAGGGAGCCAGCGGCTGAGTGGACAGAACACTGGACGCGTATTCCTGTGGTCCCGGGTTCGTCCGCGGCGCCGGCGAGAAACAATGGGCAGAGTTTCTTTCACCCTGATGTTCCTGTTACCTAGTAGTAAATAGGTACCTGGGAGTTAATCAGCTTTCACAGGCTGCTTCCTGGGGGTGGAGGACTGGGCCGCGGGGACACTAAAGCCCCGAAATCATCTCAAGATAACCTCAAGATAAGAAGATAGTCCCAATGGATTCTCTCTCTGTTGGTCATGTCATTTTACCAGCATTTCACATGCACTAGTTAAAATTCACTACCACAGCAGAAAAAGAGGCCTTTCCTCGAGTTGTATACGGTATTAACCAATAAGGGATGGCGACCATTCAGGTGAGCAAACTGGTGGTGTATGTAACTGCTACATGGTAGTCCTTGTGATGCTTAGTAGGATTTTGAAAAAACTGACAGTCATCCACACTTCAGTGGAAATAAACATTCCATTCATCTAGGCAATAGGAGTCTTGAACTGTGGACTTCACAGGTGAGAGGCCGAAACTCTATCGATATCGATAGAGCTTCGCTAACACACTTAGGGTCCATGGTTTGAGACTTCTATTGCCCAAGTGAATGAAAAAAATGCTGAGTTTTTATTTAGTAAATATTCTTCAGCCATACTTTGCTGGACTGAGCGTTTCTCCAGTGCCACCCGAGCATCAGCATGATCCAACACACGTTTGAAAGAATTTATATTGCACAGGTGTTGAACATCACCCTCATGCTGTCATGATCGACTCCTTGGGACCAGGATGAATGTTGCTTTGTGGAGCATCCAAGTGTTCTACTCAGAATGAAGGGTTTTCTTATTCCCTCTTAGCCTTGTTTTTTTATTTTTTTGTCAAGTAATTGCTTAATCTTTAACAGTACTGGACGTGGTATTTGTTGTTGCTGCTAATTAAATCTATTATCACCAATTTCAAGATGGGAAAGTAATATGCATGCCTCTTGTCATGAAATTTAGCGAGGTAAACCTTTGCCCAATGCACATTTTAGATTAATTCGTTCATATAAAAATTAGATAACTAAATGTTTTGCCAGCATAGTACCCCCTAATTTAGCAATTACCGTACTCTGTTTTTTATTCTAAAATTGTAATTTTATGATATTTCGTGTTTTGCATCCACTGTTTTTATCATCATCAGTAGAATCGCACCAACTAGATGTTCAAGTGCACCTCTACAGCATCCTGGTATTTACTGTCTGATTTATTGGAGAGTTGCTAAGTTATTTGTAGTATGACTGCACATTGCCACTCTAAAATACAATTATATTATTTTATCCATTTTTTTTTAATTTGATATAAATGTTTTTTTCCCTTTTATTATTGCAGATGAACCCTCATACTTGAGCAATGGTCTGCATTATTTTACAGGTATTGGGAATTTTGGTGGGAATAATGTTTGATTAGTTTCCTCTTCCATTTTCATTGTTTAACACAACCTTGATTAATCATCAGTATCATTTAAAAGTCTGAACTGAAGCAAGCCTCACATCAATAATGCACGAGCGTTTCCCTTTGCTGAATGTGTGCGTGTTCAACCCGTTCTCGCACTTTCGTATAGTCAATATTGACATATTAATACGTGCATATGTGACATACTAAACTTACTAGTTTGCCTTAAAAAGCTTCATAGAAAACACCAACCTTACCTAACCTTCTTAGTATGTTAAGATAAGCATCTTATTGCTTCGTAATTACAATTATTTTGTAATTATGAAGCAATAAGATGCTTATCTTAACATACTAAGAAGGTTAGGTAAGGTCGGTGTTAAGATAAGCATCTTATTGCTTCATAATTACAAAATAATTGTAATTACGAAGCAATAAGATGCTTATCTTAACATACTAAGAAGGTTAGGTAAGGTCGGTGTTTTCTATGAAGCTTTTCAAGGTAAACTAGTATGTTTAGTATGTCACATATGCACGTATTTAATAAGTCAATATTTACTGTAAGAAAGTGTGAGAACGGGTTGGTGTGTTGAAGGAACACGCTTGTGATCAATTGAAGTTTAATGTGCTTTTGAAAGTTTAGTTCACTTTTTTTTTCATTATTACAACCAATGATAAATCCTGAAAAGTAAACTATATAATTTTACCAGTTAATAATGAATCGTTTTGTTTGAGTTTTCAGAAGACATAAAGGCAGTGTGTAAATAGACAATACGCACAGGGTATTTTTTTTTTCTCAAGGCATTATAGGCCTCTGCTCAGTTTAAAGACTTCACTGGCTTCATAATTTAGTTTCTTATATCCTTGGTAGTGAAGAGCACAAAGTGCTGACAACGATGTAAAGAAAAACCAAGATAAGAGTAGACTATTGACAGTAGATAATTTTTTGGCTGTTTGGGCTTATCATCTGCTTTTAAATTCTACTCTCATCTCGGTATTTCTCTACATTCTTCATCCTTGTGATGTAACTGTCTCCCTCTTATTCAAATACATACTATATTTTTCAGACAAATTATTTTACTTGGAATTAGCACAAAAATGAAGAGGAAGCCTTTCCTATTTAGAAATAAATATTGTACAATCCTGTATTGTAAATGCTTCGCAAGATGTGACAATGTTCCCCTCAGACCTGTAATGCTCGTCGGCCGCAGCTCAATTTCAGAAGCGTGTCTTCAAGTGGTATTCCTTTAGGTAAAGCGATATGCCTACTAAAGATTTGCAAGATGTTTCCATCATGGAAAATGTATAGATTCTGGATCATTAGTCCGTCATCAGTGCTTTTATGTTGAAGAAAATTAGTCAAGCATTTAAAAGCATGCTTTTTGTTTTCGACAAATACTTGAAACACTGTGAATTCTTGTATTGTATATTACAAATTTCTTATACATTATACTGTATATTGTTGTGCAGGTATACTGTAATGGAATTTCAAACCATTGCATACTTTATTGTGTATATTTATTTGCAACAAATTAACACGGCACAATATTTTATCGGAATTGAAATCATTTCGATGTGCATTCAGAAGTTCTGGGGAGAACATTGTGCAGTATTCCAAGAGCTTTTATATCTAATGCAAATATGCTGTTAATAACTCGCAAACGTTTGCTGGACTAAACGTACTCTTCTTACATTCTAAAAAATTTTTTGTGTGTGACTTCCATTAAGTAATTGTCTTTAAATTACTTAATGGAATTCCATAGAATTGCCACAATTAATACTGTTTTATACATAAAAAAAACTGAATGCACAATGAAGTTCTAAAATTACTTTCTTGTTGAACTTCTGAAATAATCTGAGATCTTCAAAAATCCTATAAATCTCATGGAGTCAACATTTCTTTTGCTAAGATTACATATCATGAGAGGAAAAATAAATACCAAAACCAGAATAATCTCGACTCTAAATTCCTTCAGATTTGGTTCAGTTCTCTGGGGTTGTGGCCTTGAAGAGTAATATTTCAACTTCGTTTATTCGCTTATAATACACGTTGGCCATTGGTATCAAATATTGGGAAGGAGGTAATAGATCGTTATAGAGAAATGTCAATACTGTATGAGTAAAGATAGCAAAGGATTTATTTAAACAAATCAATTTTGAAAAATCCATTAGATTGCAAATTTGTTGAGAAATTACAAGTTGTTAAATAATTATTAATGCTCAAAGTTTTCAGAACTGATATTAAGATTTATTACGAGAAAGATGATGGTTACTAACCATTTGCTAGTTATGGAAATTTGTTATTTACTATCTATTGAGAGTTTGTCTCTGTTTACAAGATAGCTTTTCAATTTGATCTACATTCGGCAATTCCTTCAAGACTTATACTCATGTTTGGTATTTCATGGAATTTCTCTGGCTCTGTATTTTGTTGACATCATTTTGTATTGTCAGAAGTTACTTAGAAATTATTTCTGATATATTTAATCAAGATCATCATACAGTACAGTACTTATAAATTCTGTAGTGCCGAGAGAAGAAAATCTGGCCGACATTTTGTTCAGTAGTTACAGTATAATAGATGTGTCTTCTAAGGTTGTTAGTTAGAAACTTTGTGTATTATGTCATAAAATTAAATTAGTGTATATACAGTTTAAAGCATGTCATTTTAGTCATTTTATTTATAAATTCTTTTCATGAAGTATGTATTTTTTATTTTTGATAGCCTATTGTTTAGATTAACGACAAATTTTCTAGCAAGTTACTTTTCAAGAATACTTAAATAAAAACACTGTTATATATATATAATGAACTTCAGAATTCATATGCTTCTTTGAATTATCTTTGAGTTGCTACTCTCTGTTAGCCTATATTATTATTTGGCAATTTGACCTCGCATTCCTACATGGTGTGCAAGATATAGGTTCTCCTGCATGGGTCTCATCATCTCTTAACATCCCCCATGTCTCCCGCCACACAGATCTACTGGGTTTCTCAGACGAAAATAGTGAGCCACCTAACCAGCTTAACAATCAAGGTATTCCTGACAGCCAACTCTTTGATACTGTTTATGCATGTACACTATAAATAACATCGATAACGCGGTTTTATATTCTGTTTTTTGTTAACATTGCTCACAGAAATAGTTTTGCAAACCCTTCAGTTTTGTATTTTATGTATTTGAATCTGGCAAAATGTTTTGTTGTCATTTGTTTTGTTGAATATTCAGACCCTGGCAAAATTGTGTGATTTGCTACAGGCATTTGTCGTCACTGATGTCTGCAAACTGATGTTAATGCCATTAATTTTTTAGGCAAAATTAAAATTTCCTTTGTACACCTTCCATCACTCATACTTAAATTGAGGTATCATTTCTCAGTCATACCCATTGCATACAAACTTCTCATACATTCATTGAATTGCCTCTTTAACAATTCAGTAATCATGGCTTATATCTTCCTTAAACATATACATATCTTTAAATTTTCAAAATGATGACATTGTGATTAAACACACGCTGGGTCTCAAAGCTTATGATTAAATCGCAACCGTGTCAAAGTCTCGTATGATTAAGGAACTATGCCACATACCCTTCACTAATATATCATTGTATGAATTGTATCTGGCTGGCCAATGTAGGTAAATCATTATTCCCAAGTTACGCATGCACCACATTCTATTTTCAAGCTGGGTTGAAGTGCAAAGAAAGTAGAGATTTAGTGCATTTCTTCTGTAATGTAGCGGCATGTTGCTTCCTTGTTAATTTTCCTCCTGGCAGCAGCATTTTTTATGTAGATTCGTGTCTGGTACAGTACTGTTCTGACGATACTTTTTACTATAAACTTTTGTGCAATATGGTAAATGGGTGCTGTGCCTTTCTTACATGTTAGGCACCTACATAGAGTGTCACTGCTTATTTGCATAATATATGAAGTTACTGTCCTACTTTTATTTTTCGTTAAATATGCTTCCCTTGTTCAATTTTTGGTGACTTAAACACTGTTGATTATAAGTTCTTAAAAGAAAGCTACAGACCAGATTCACACTGAAGAAATAATAGTGATAAATAGTGATCATTTTCAGTCCTCATTGCTGCTTGTTAATTTCAGTCTATTGTGTTTGAGTAAATTAACCATCTGAACGACTACTGCTCCCTGTAACCTGTCATTTAGTCTGGTCTTTGTTCTATATTAACATTTCTACTAACATTTGATTTCTCTTCAAACTTCTACCATCTACTTGATAAAGTCTTTGTTGGGGTTCTCAAATGTGTCTTGAATAGTCTTATTATACAGTAAGTTTCTTGGGAGGGTTTTTCAGTCTATGCCTAAGCACGTTAATGACATGCTAATTTTTGTTCTTGGCAGCATTATTCATCATCGACACCCTGCTTCCCACCTTTATGGGGTGGGGCTGTAATTGCTCAAAGAAGGGGAAAAAATATAGTGCTAGGACACTTGGGTTATAATTTTTTTGTTATTATTTAAATATGCGAGAAGTGTTACATTTTTGTAAAGCCACTAGCACGCATAGCGTTTCGAGCAGGTCCTTGATCCAAATTTTTTCCCCGAAATATGACTTACCAAATCGTTTAACAACCAGGTACCCATTCACTTCTGGGTGAATAGAGGCTACAGTTAAGGTGCCTTGAGAGATCCCAATTCAACTTTTTTTTTTTTTTTTGAGAGAGAGAGAGAGATCCATACGAGCCTCATATCAAAGATCAGCCCAGAGAAATGAATCTCATTTATGCAAGATATCCTGCACCCAATTTATATAAAATTTTGGGTCTCTGGGTTTGGCATAAGTGTTATAGCCATATAGTTATATGGCTTATAGCCATATACAGTACAGGTATATAGTCATAGCCATATGTCATATTGGCATATTGCTACAGTCTTCAGGAGGTGAAAATTGAAAGCTAAACTCCTCTGCCCACCAAGATACTCAATGCAAGGACAATAGCAAATTTAATTTGCAATCGACATGCATTAAGCTACAATTGAAATGGATTATTGTGAGACAATTGAAATGGACAGGTCTTCCTTATACTGTACAGTGTGCTTGTCATACCGCCATACCAGCTGGAAGGACATAACCCCCCAATACCATACCCTTGAGGTTACCTTGAGGTGCTTCCGGGGCTTAGCGTCCCCGCGGCCTGGTCGTTGACCAGGCCTCCTGGTTGCTGGACTTGTCAACCAGGCTGTTGGACGCAGTTGCTCGCAGCCTGACGTATGAGTCACAGCCTGGTTGATCCAAAGCAGCTTGATACCCCTCCAAAGGAGCTCCCTATCTGAACAATAGCCACAGTAGCAGTTTCTCTAGGAGGGTCTACCACTGGAGGTGGTTCCTCTGCACTACCCATTCTTTCATATATTATTTCACTTGGTCATTGTCTTCCTTATGAACTCCCTTATTTGACCCTTCAGAGAGCAATCAGAGAACACTGTATAAACATTAAAGGTCAATAATGGTTGTTCAACATCCTCCCAGCGAGCATAAGAAATATTGCTGGAACAAACATGGACATCTTCCAAGAGAAAACTGGATATTTTTCTTCAAGAAGTGCCGGACCAACCAGGCTGTGGTGGATATGTGGGTCTGCGGGCCGCTCCAAGCAACAACCTGGTTGACCAAACTCTCACAAGTCAAGCCTGGCCTTGGGCCAGGCATGGGGAGTAGACAAACTCCCAGAACCCCATTCAGGTATCCTTCTAACATGTCCACATCACCCAAGTGTAATATGCTTCACCAACACCAAATTTCTTTCCCTTACCCCTTTCCATATATCTCAGATACTGTACTTCCTCATTGCTATCTTCATGCCACATTCTCCAGCTGATTTGCTCTAGAAACTCGTTTCCATTGCTTGTACTCCTGAGCACACTACCTCCATCTATTCCCAAGTTTCCTGTCCATATGTCAGGGGTGGGCAGAGTATACATGTCTCAATCCTTTCTAAAATATTAAACATACCAGACCCGGTCGGCTGAGCGGACAGCACGCTGGACTTGTGATCCTGTGGTCCTGGGTTCGATCCCAGGCGCCAGCGAGAAACAATGGGCAGAGTTTCTTTCACCCTATGCCCCTGTTACCTAGCAGTAAAATAGGTACCTGGGTGTTAGTCAGCTGTCACGGGCTGCTTCCTGGGGGTGGAGGCCTGGTCGAGGACCAGGCCGCGGGGACACTAAAGCCCCGAAATCATCTCAAGATATCTTCAAGATACCGTTAGTAGTAGGGTCCCGATAGTACAGTCGGGTTTGTTCTCGACGCAGAGTCGGGAATTCTGGGTTCGAATCTCGGGCGGGACAGAAATGGTTGGGCACATTTCTTTTCACCTAGTGCCTCTGTTCACCTAGTAGTAAGTTGGTACTAATGAGTTAGTCAGCTTCTTGTGGGGGTTGTATTCTGGTCGGGGTCAGTAGTTCAACCATGGTGGGAGCCGGTCGGCCGAGCGGACAGCACACTGGACTTGTGATCCTGTGGTCCTGGGTTCGATCCCAGGCACCGGCGAGAAACAATGGGCAGAGTTTCTTTCACCCTATGCCCCTGTTACCTAGCAGTAAAATAGGTACCTGGGTGTTAGTCAGCTGTCACGGGCTGCTTCCTGGGGGTGGAGGTCTGGTCGAGGACCGGGCCGCGGGGACACTAAAAGCCCCGAAATCATCTAAAGATAACCTAACCTAAAGATGGTGGGGTTGGGGGCTCGATATAAGCATAACGTGTATGAATACACTCTGGCTTCCTGTCCCCCGACAACGAATTATTATTATTGGCCCCGAAATCGTCTCAAGATAACCTCGAGACAGGATGAGAGCTACGCTCGTGGTGTTCAGTCTTCCCAGTGCTCTGTTGTATAGCTCTTTGAACAGCCCATCCTCCAGTTTTGGTAGTACTTATAGTAACAATGAGGGCCATAGTATATATATACTAACGTACAACGAAACTATAACACAGTTTCAGGACCAAAGAGCCAAAGCTCAACCCCCGCAAGCACAATTAGGTGAGTACAGAAATCTGAACTATTGAGTTAGACAAACTGGAAAACTATTTTTTACTTATGTTACTTTGACAAACTAAACCAACTTATCTAAACCTCCCTAGGCCTAATACACAATATTTGAAGGCTAATAGAGTACATATGAGTGCTATACTAGGCCTAAGAATATTTACATTTGTGTTTTAGCTTCATTTATTTTAAAAGAATTCCTTACTAGTCAGTATACTATCAAAAAGCTAAGAACGTACAAATTCTGACTATTGACGATCGTCACAATAGGTACCATCTAAACAGGAGGATGGGTTGCTTTGAAACTACTGACGGTTTTGGCCTCCACCACCTTCTCACTTAGCATGTTCCAACCGTCTACTACTCTGTTGACAAAAGAAAACTTTAATATTTTTTGGCACATGTGTTTCCTTAGCTTGAATCTGGGTCCTCTTGGAATCTGTGATTTTAACTTATAAATATACAAGAGTTCTTACATTCATGTACAGCCACTAGCACGCATAGCATTTCACAGACAGTATGGTTTCACAGACAGTATGGTATAATATCAGACAGACAGTATGGTTTTCGATCTGGAAGATCCTGTGTATCGAATTTACTCAGTTTCTATGATCGAGCCACAGAGATATTACAGGAAAGAGATGGTTGGGTTGACTGCATCTATCTGGACCTAAAAAAGGCTTTCGACAGAGTTCCACATAAGAGGTTGTTCTGGAAACTGGAAAATATTGGAGGGGTGACAGGTAAGCTTCTATCATGGATGAAAAATTTTCTGACTGATAGAAAAATGAGGGCAGCAATCAGAGGCAATGTATCGGAATGGAGAAATGTCACAAGTGGAGTACCACAGGGTTCAGTTCTTGAACCAGTGATGTTTATTGTGTACATAAATGATCTACCAGTTGGTATACAGAATTATATGAACATGTTTGCTGATGATGCTAAGATAATAGGAAGGATAAGAAATTTAGATGATTGTCATGCCCTTCAAGAAGACCTGGACAAAATAAGTAGATGGAGCACCACTTGGCAAATGGAATTTAATGTTAATAAATGTCATGTTATGGAATGTGGAATAGGAGAACATAGACCCCACACAACCTATATATTATGTGAGAAATCTTAAAAGAATTCTGATAAAGAAAGAGATCTAGGGGTGGTTCTAGATAGAAAACTATCACCTGAGGACCACATAAAGAATATTGTGCAAGGAGCCTATGCTATGCTTTCTAACTTCAGAATTGCATTTAAATACATGGATGGCGATATACTAAAAAAATTGTTCATGACTTTTGTTAGGCCAAAGCTAGAATATGCAGCTGTTGTGTGGTGCCCATATCTTAAGAAGCACATCAACAAACTGGAAAAGGTGCAAAGACATGCTACTAAGTGGCTCCCAGAACTGAAGGGTAAGAGCTACGAGGAGAGGTTAGAAGCATTAAACATGCCAAAACTAGAAGACAGAAGAAAAAGAGGTGATATGATCACTACATACAAAATAGTAACAGGAATTGATAAAATCGACAGGGAAGATTTCCATAGACCTGGCACTTCAAGAACAAGAGGTCATAGATTTAAACTAGCTAAACACAGATGCCGAAGAAATATAAGAAAATTCACCTTCGCAAATAGAGTGGTAGACGGTTGGAACAAGTTAAGTGAGAAGGTGGTGGAGGCCAAGACCGTCAGTAGTTTCAAAGCGTTATATGACAAAGAGTGCTGGGAAGACGGGACACCACGAGCGTAGCTCTCATCCTGTAACTACACTTAGGTAATTACACTTAGGTAATTACACAAGTCCTTAATCCTAATTTTCACACACACACACATCCCCAAGAAGCAGACCGTAGCAGCTGTCTAACTCCCAGGTTCACCTACTGCCAGGTGAACAGGGACATCAGAAACTCTGGCCATTTGTTTCCACCTCTGCCGAGGATCAAACCCGGACCCTTAAGACTACGAACCCCGAGCGCTATCAACTCAGCCAACAGGGCCCCCTAAACTCGAAACTTGGGATGATTAGGGATAAATGTTTGAATAAAAATGGGTATCCTTCCAATTATAAAATCATGTAGATTTCATAGAATTCCACACATTTGTGCCTGATGATTTACGACCAAAAACTACCTCACACAATTACTCGACACAAATCAGTAACTAGAATAATAACGAATGCCAACCCCCAGACAGCATGCAGCACCTTTACATAAATCCTTGAACTTGCCAAATATAAAAATGTAAACACACACTCATTTGTATTCTATATCTTCAAAACTCTAAACTGCAATCCTCACCTCAGATAATTACTAAGAGGGCTGCAACAGAACTTGAAAAAACATAAACCGTTATCTATTTCATATTTCAAGTGTCCAACTCAACCAAAGTAGAAATGCCATACAAATAAAGGACCGTAAATAGTAGAATGACTTCCCAAATGTAATAAATGTGTACTTCTTTTAACTAACTTACATTAATAACGAAACAAATAATCAACATGTAGTTGCTTACATATCTACTACTCCAAGTAACAAATCTAGCATACATTGGTTCTCCATCCTAATTAAAGCAATTGTGTTTGCTGTTATTGTTAATATTAAATACTGTAAATATATTATTGTAATATTTACTACTGAAGCTATATAATCGGAAATAAAGTAGTCTACTTGCTTTAGCATTTACCATCACTCTTTGAATCTGTTTATCATTTACTGTACTTCAATTCTAAAAAAAAATTCTACATTTATATTCTATAAATGTTAACTTACATCTCAAAGCATTAAGTATTGCCCTAAAAAATGATAATTAAATGCACACATTAATCATACGTTTGCCTGAAATGAGCAAATCCATAGGTGCCGTGATGAGGGTTCGAACCTATACGCTGGGTGCGCCCAGGCACACACCTGGGAGCCAGAGCCAGAGTACATGGAGGATGGTGTGAAACTCTGGTTTGGCTTACATGGAAGCCTCAGGAATCCTAGAGGGTGCAGTAGTACCCCAGGTTGTAATCCTTTTGACCATGTTGTGGCATAGTTGGATAGAGCATGTGTCTGGAGGACACATAGCACATAGTTTCAAACCCTCATCATGGCTCTTACGGATATGCTCATTGATGCATCACGATAGTGTCATTACTATCTGTGTTTTGCCTGAAGTGTTGTGTGCTATTTGCAGCAGCATCAAAAATATATACAGGTATAATTATGTAAAAACTGTACTTTGAACCCCTCAGTAATTTACAATTTTATATTATATTCTTGTACTCTTATTATTTGGAATATGTCACATACAAGGATATTCAGTAATCTAATTAGTGTGTAATGCTAAAGAAAATCCAGTGCCAACTTGTGACACACAAAACATGCTTCCTCTATGGGATAATTCTGTTTAACGAACACGGCCACGCTGTGCACAAGTTGTGCCGTGTTCACGGTATATCCCTGGAAACACAAACCGTAACCGACCCTATTTCCCGCTTGTTACAACTCGTAATAAAGTTGTTACATCTTGGCTTAACCTGTTTATGACGTATTAGAACGTTGTTACAACTTGTTATATTGGTTGTTATAACTGGTTAGGAGGTGTTAAATCTTGTTCGAACGTTGTAGCAACGTCGTAGTTTCGCTGTGTGTTTGGCGGGATGAAGGTCTTCTGAACCTAAGTAGGTTCACAATGATATATGAACACTGATTACATGCTCTTATATTTACTTAAGTGTTGATATAACTTCAAAGCACTGTGTTAATTAATTATTTTTGGATTATGTTTGTTTACAGAGCTACTTTTCATTATACTATATACCGTAGGAAACATAATCATGTAATTAAGTCTAATTTAATACCTTTCTTATTTTACTCCAGGTTAGGCAAGAAAGTCTTCAAATGTACATGCAGTTTAAACATAAAAATTATAAAAAAAAATCATTCATTTACCATTTGCTTCAACCTAAACTAAATTTTGAGTTGTTTAATTATTTCAATACAGTATTTTGGAATAAAATAACTTATTTCTTTATTTGGTATACGGTAGTACTCAATTAGTTGTGCTTGAGGGGGTTGAGCTTCGCTCTTTGGTCCCGCAAAGTGATCTTTCAAATGTGTCTATCGTTACAGTGACCAGTAGCCGATCACCCCATTCCAAACTTGGGAAGCATTTGCAGTCTCTCATCAATGGCGCCGGTGGTGCCGATCTGGCTCATGGGATTTACAGACTCCAGGTGGAAGGAAAAGATGGTGGCATCTTCATCATATTTGTTGGAAATGGCAAGTATTAATTTGAATTTAATATGAAATAAAATGGCATAATTATGCTGCTATGACAATGCAGTAATGAAACCCCCTTTAAGTACTACAGTTTTTTGAGAAAAGTTCATGTTTTTCATCTCCATACTTTCACAAATATATTTTTAACTCATTTTCCTAAGTCCTGCTCTGTTTCTGTTCTTCTGTCCCACCTTACTCACCAAACACAAGCATATTAATGCAAGTCATTAAATAAAGATTCTGTATTTTTCCATGCCTTGTCTCATCTGGAAACTTCCCTTCTTTGAAGACATGACCTCACAGAATATCTTTTCTAGTGCTGCTATTTGAAGAGATGAAGCATCATGTATCTTTTATTTCTTTTGAAGGTGCAGAACATAAGATGGCTTTAATTTCCTGACATTCTTGCACTGAACACTATTCATTCACAGCATCCCACTACTGTACATGCGACTTTCTCTCGTGTCTTTCAAAATGGCCTCAGAACAGGACTTCCTATTTATATTATCGGACTGCTGAGCAAGCTGATATTTGTGTGTATCTGCCAATTCTTACATAATCTGTCAGCATTGTACATTACTGTATTTAACTCATTAGTTTCTGGGTCACTATTTGATGGTATTTAGGTTAAACATTGTCCCATTAACCCATTAACTGTATTCGCCATGTGCAATTCCCCCCCCACCCCCATTTGATTTCTTAACTATTTTTAGTCATGAGTACCTACGTGTAGTACTGTACTTGTAAGTAGTTGCACTGTTGAAGTATTAATTGCAATTAGATCTTCAAGAAGGCTTTGGTATGGTGTTGGGCTGAAGGCATATTAACTGTGGGATGGTTAAGAGGCCACCACAATAACTTACTGTCCAAGCAGCAAGTATACCTTAGTCTTGAACTAAAACAAACTTCTTAGCGTGTATATATGGACAGGAAGTGAAATACCTCTCCAAGTGTACAGTATATATATATATATATTCCTTTTGGAGGCTTTTGGTTTGGTGTTGACCTTAAGACCTATTAACCGCAGGAGAATAATTACAGCTACGCACCAGAAGATGAGGAGACGACGATGTTTTGGTCCGTCCTGGACCATTATCAAGTCGATTGTGTTGACTTGATAATGGTCCAGGAGGAACCGAAACGTCGTTGTCTCATCTTGTGGTGTGTGGTTTAGTCTTCATATCTTCAGCCACGTTATTGTGACTCATCGTCTGCATTAAGGCCACCACAATAACTTACTGGCCTACCAGTAATTGTACTTTATCCCTGATCATAGTCCTGGGATAAAATTAATTCTCAATGTACTGTATATACATCAAGAAGATGAGTCTGCCACTCGATTTATATGTTTAGGTTTTGATAGTGGTCAAGTATGAACTATGAAGTTCCCAGTTGTTTCTAGAATCACAGAACAGGTTTATATAACGGGTGTCACATATGAATTCCTCCGTTTATGCCATATTTGTTTATCAGACCAGATTCTGTTTAAGAATATAAAACAGTATTTTGGCAATTATTATTGAAAAATTAACATTACATTGTACATACAGAACTGTACATTAATTATTAAAAAATTTTTTTTTGTCTGTGATGGCAGTTTTTGCGGGGTCTGCCATATTGCTTAGTAACATTTATAATACATAACCCACTTTCTGGGACAGCAACTCTCCAACTTCCCGAGCTACTTACCTGGAGTCCTCCGAACCCAGGCTCTGACAAGGTACGAGCACCTATCAGAGGTTGAGACTAAAATCTGGCCCCTCCCTCTGTGGAGGCATAACGGAATGAGATTCAAGATCACCACATTATTGAATGAAAACAAGCAATTGGTTGGGAAATATTGCAACCCTCAGGCACACAATGTACGTGTGTGCATCAGGGTTGTACACAATGTACGTGTGTGCATCAGGGTTGTATACAATGTACGTGTGTGCATCAGGGTTGTACACAATGTACGTGTGTGCATCAGGGTTGTACACAATGTACGTGTGTGCATCAGGGTTGTACACAATGTACGTGTGTGCATCGGGGTTGTACACACGTCCAACTGCTAGTTTTTGTAGGTTGTTTGGGTGTTCCTTGGTTTCATCCTGGGCCTCTGGTCACCTTTCTGTCTCTACTGATTTTGTTTACTGGGTTGAGGGTTGTTCCTCACCAGTTTATGTTCTCTAGGCTTTGAGTGTGGCAGTTCTTTGGCTGTTTGGGGTCTGCCATATTGCTTTGTTGACCCTTGTTGGGTTCTGCTGCCCTGGAGTTGTTGCTCCGCTTTTTTTATGTTTTGGTGGGTGATGCTTGTTACTGCCTTGCTTTCCTACTGCACTTCCTCCTCGTCTCTCTCGTTTTTGACTGGACCAGTCAGGCCCAGTAAGAAGGGCCAGGCTGGCCCAGGCACACCACCAAGGGGCCAGTGTACTTGGCCATTGTGGTCCTCACAGCAATTTGCTATTTTTTCTGGGGATTCAGGTCCCTAAGGGTACTGTATTTCTTGGAACTCATGTGTATGTGTTTCCCGTAATACATCCTGTTTTGTGAGTCCACCTCTTATATTTTCTGGTTTTGGATGGACTGGTTTTAGCTTCTAGTTTGCACCTGGGACTCGTTTCATGGTTTGGGTCTCCTTCGTAGTTGGGATTTGAGGTCTTGGCTGTCAGTCTCTTTTTAGGTGTTTTGGTATGTCTCCTGCCATTCATGGGCACACGTTTGTTGTAATTAAGCTAAGTGTAATTACCAAGTGTAGTTACAGTTTGAGAGCTATACTCGTGGTGTCCCGTCTTTCCAGTACTCTTTGTCGTATAACACTTTAACACTACTGACAGTCTTGGACTCCACCACCACCTCACTTAACTTGTTCCAACCATCTACCACACTGATTGCGAAAGTAAATTTTCTTATATTTCTTTGGCAACTTTGTTTAGCTAGGTTAAATCTATGACCTCTTGTTCTTAAAGTTACAAGTCTCAGGAATTCTTCCCTATCAATTTTGTTGATTTCCATTACTATTTTGTACATAGTGAGCATATCACCTCTTTTACTTCTTTCTTCTAGTTTTGGCATATTTAATGCCTCTAACATCTCTTCATAGCTTTTGTCTGTTTGTTCCTGACCCCATTTTCATTTCAATTCTGGGAGTGATTGTTGCGATTACCTTACCTTATGGCTGGGGAACAAATCCACAAGGGCCGTGACGAGGATTCTTTCAACTCCTTTTGACCATGTTGTAGCTCAGTCGATTAAGGCAGCGTCTGAGATGCCCTTGGACGCAGGTTCGAATCCTCGTCACGGCCCTTGTGGATTTGTTCATTTGATGCCTCATGAAATTGTGATTTCTGTGTGTAGTGTTATGGCTGGGGGTTCGTGGCGAGTGCTTCCTTGGTGGTTCTAGGCAGTGGGGTACTAATTAGATTTACGAGTTGACAGCACTTTTTGGATATTTTACTGTGCATTTATCCTTTTGGGGTTTCATGGTTTGGTTCCCTGATGCACCGAGGAGGTTCTTAGTGTCCCATTATAGGTCAGTGTGGCTTCTTCCAGTATGGGTTGGCCTCGTAGCTTGGCTTATTTTCAGGGTTCGGCTTCACATGTTCTCTTAGATAATGTTGGTTGTCTTGGTTGGAAAGTCCCGCTTTGTGTCCCATCCTTTTCGATGGGTTAAATGGTCATCGACAGGTCCTTTGCCACTTTTGCAAGCCGTTCACATTCATCTGCAAGTGTTATTTAACTTTTATTCCATTCCCAGTTGCAAGGTGTTTGCAGTTGCCAGTTTTTGCCTTGCCTGGAATTGTAGGTGATTATTCTGTCTTCCTATTTGGTGTTTACCCAGTTATTGCTTTTGAAGGACTTCTGCCAGCATGATGTCCCTCCTTGGTAGGTGGCTCAACCTTGGTTTTTGGCCCATCAAGTCTTGGTGTTTGGTGGTGTGTAGCTCAACCTTGGTTTCTGGGTCATCAAGTCTTGGTATCTGGTCCTGGGAGTCTTCCTTAAAACCATTCCTGCATTGGCATAGTGGTTGATCAACCCACTTATTTTGGAGTATTCTACCACTCTAGTGACTTTTCCTCTGACAGTGCAGTGATCTTATATCCCCCACTCCCTTATGTCTCTAGTAATGGGGCCAGATTACAGTCCTGGTCTCCAGTAGGTGCTTGTCATTCATTAGAGGCTATGGAAAACTACACCCAGGTAACTCTGAGAGATTCCAGAAAAAAAGAGGTATTTCTGTACGTTAAAAATTGTTTTTTCATTTATTTTATGTAATCCATTTATCAGAACTTGAGCTTATAAGTATCTAAATATCTGGGCCAGTTTTAATAAGTTTGCTATGATGTCCCATGTGGGACACTTTGACAAACATGTTTACTTCAGTGGCCCCATTAGCAACCATCTAATTCTAATGTTCTCAGCATCCATGTGTAAAATGCTATTAGTGTTATGTTGTTGGTTATGTAACTAGTAAGACAAGAGGCACATGTTGTATCAGTTGGAGAATCACTCTTCATTTATGAAAAAACTGTTCCATAAAGAGGACGAGTCGTGCCAAGCAACACCTACAAAGAAACAGTTTTGATATCCTTTTGATATAACTGCAGTTTGTCCCAGATTATGCACTGGGCTACACTTGTTCATAGGTTACAATTGTGCACGTGTTTACATTTGTTCACAAGGATATGTGTCTGGATCTGCTGTGGTCTTGCCAACTCTGAACTCAGTGTTAATAGCCTACAAGAAAAATACAAATGAATCCTTGGACCTCCAACATCTTCTCCTTTCCCCCCCCTCACAAGAAGAAAATATCAGCACAAATTACCTCCAATTTGTATAGTAGTTTAATTGTTGAGAATCTCACCAGTCATCACTAACTTTGTTTATGGTAGGTGGCTATAATAGAGACCTTGTGTCGTTTTGTAACATATTAAGCAATATACAGGCATTTTGAAAAGCTGATCTGGCAATATGCAGCTATGTTGAATAGCTGCATTGGCAATATGGAGCCATTTTGAATAGCTGCATTGACAATATGCAGCCATGTTGAATAGCTGCATTGACAATATGCAGCCATGCTGAATAGTTGCATTGACAATATGCAGCCATGCTGAATAGCTGCATTGGCAATATGCAGCCATGCTGAATAGCTGCATTGGCAATATGGAGCCATGTTGAATAGCTGCATTGACAATATGCAGCCATGTTGAATAGCTGCATTGGCAATATGCAGCCATGTTGAAAGCTGCAGTAGAAGGTAGACTTCTAGACCTCCTACCTTTTCATAGAATTCCTTGTTTTATTCTTAATGCCAGTGTCACCAAAATGGTACTGTATTCATCTCAATTGTGCTGCCTTAATTCAGATAGACTTTCAAATGGCAAGGAGGTACAAAATCATAGTGCATGTAAAAATATGGAGCATCTACCATGGTGTCTGCATGTGACAAATAGCATGTGAGAACTAGTTCTGTGATTTGACACGGGGGCAAGATACCTGCTACGGGTTTGTTTATTGTGAAGGTGTACGTGTCCCGTATAGTGAAGCCACCTGCTGCGGGCTTATTTTTCTGTGAACGTGTACATGTTCCGTATAGTGTTTAGCCGACTTGAAACCGAGATACTGTGCACTAAAATAACTACATTACGATATAAATATAGCATTTGTGTAATAAGTTGTTTGCAAGTTATGGACATGAGATGCTAGCCAGTGCCTGTTACATATGCATGTTGAGAATTTGTAGGATGGATGTTAATGTTTTAATGTTTTCTTTGGTAATTTAATAGGTTTGCTTGTATCGCCTTTGCAAAATGTGTGCCAGTAGATGGTACTATTGTGTGTATTTTGGTAATTGGCCGTGGTGTTTAGTAGAATGAATCATCAAGATTAACGACAAGCTCACCCAGAAAGTCCTACATCTTTATAAACCTAGAATTTTTGTCTGGAAATTTAAGGATCTTGTCTGCCATATCTTTGACATTAGCTTATACAATGCTAAATCATCATACAAGATTCTTTACTGTATTTTCAACTTGATTAATACTTCATAATATGAAACTAAATTTATTATAACAAATTTAATTAACCTTTAAAGTGGAGCTATCTTCATACATTGATTTTCTGGATAATGAGGTTATCATATGGTGATTAAGGAAATTATTGCCCAGTTTATATACAAATAAATATAGTTATAACACACACACAGTACAGTACCCTACGAGTTTTTGGAATACGAGCCGTCTCCAGGAACAGATTAAACTCTTAAACTGAGGTACCCCTGTATTTGGAAATCCAGAACAATTTTAAAAAGATGTGACCCATATTTTAGAGGTTACCGTGTAATATGGCATTACAGATAAAAGCTGGCAAGATCTATTTTATGTTTTTCTGTACAGGATAAGCTGGCAAAGTGTGATGGTATAGTGATTGGTATAGAGCATATAATTTTCATATAAAGGTTAACTAAAAAAATTACATAAAGACTTAGAGAGCTCCATAACATGCTAAACCAAATACTATTGAAATGGGTAGTTCAAATTTAATTTTCAAAAAACTTGGATACTCTATGTTGGATGTAAAGAGATTGATGATGGATAATGTATGGATGTTATTATGGACGCCTAGACAACATTGTGCGGTTGAAGATGTCTTCAACCCTTGTTTATGGGGAAGGAAATATTAATATGGAAGGAATTATCAAGGGAAAGCGCCAAGCCATTACGACTATATAGCACTTGGAAGGGGGGTCAGGATAAGGATTTGGGATGGGACGGGGGGAGAAGGAATGGTGCCCAACCACTTGGACGGTCGGGGATTGAACGCCGACCTGCATGAAGCGGGACCGTTGCTCTACCGTCCAGCCCAAGTGGTTAGACTATTAATAGGGAAGGAAACACAAATCTAAAATTCATCGTTAAAATTCAGGTGAACACACACGTTCACATGGTATAAATAGGCACAGATGAATATTTAACAACAACTGTATTGAATATATGGAAAGGTAGACGAGGTCAAAATGTCATGAAGGGTGAAGTGAATTAGGATGAAGAATTAAACCTCTTCAAAGGTTTACAAATCTAGAAAAGTAACTACAGGTAATGGTAGACTTGTAATGAATATTTACAACCTTGATGCACAGGGGGGGGGGGGGGAGGGAATAGTGATGAGTAAAGCAATAGGAAGATCAATGGGTAGATGTAGAGTGGTTATAGCAATAGGATAAAAGCAATAGGCAGAATAATGGGTAGAGTGATAAGTAAAGCAATAGTTATAGTGATTAGTATAGAGCATATAATTTTCATATAAAGATTAACGAAAAGAATTACATAAAGACTTAAAGAGCTCCGTAACATGCTAGACCAAGTTCAGATAGTTACCCAAAAATGACTATGCTTCGGGTAACTTACTTACCCGAAGAATATTTGTTACAGCCACTAAGTTGGAAGGTGTAAATCTCCCTAGTGTGGAGGTGCGGGAGGGAACACTGATTTACAGATATGAACAAATAAATTCTTAGAGGGGGAAACAAACCAAAATCTATCAACTTGGTGTATGATCTAGTAGGCTGCCGAATCTTAAGAAAAATAATGGATTACATTTTTTCCCCCCGCAGGGGTGCGACAAGTGGTAGAAGGAGACTTGCCAAAGGTTACCCCAGACGTTGCAGTGACCATTGCCAAGAGTGATTTGATGGCCATTTTTGAAGGGACTCTTGCCCCACTGCAGGCTTATCTCTCAGGCCATCTGACGGTCCAAGGCAATGTGCAGATGCTTATGGGGCTCGAGTCCCTCCGCCAGGGTAATAAGGATAAAGACAAAGATGATATTTTCATTGTGTAATATATGATTTTCTCAAAATTTCTACTAGATAAAACAAAGAAAGCTTTAAAAGAGTAAGAAATGCATTGTTAATGTTACCTTGGAAAATACCTCTTGCATGAATCATTTATAATAAAAAAATGCACAATGAGACTTATTAGCTTTTACTTCCTTTAAACGACGGGACGCCAACATAGGTTTCTAGTAGCTATGCGCAAATTAATGAAAGAGGCTGGATATCTGCTTTATTTACTCTAACTTTAAATATCAATTGCCTATAAATCCCCCAAAAGTACTGCATGGCTTTCTGTAACTTAATACAGTACTGTTTATTTTTCTGTCAATTGAAAATATTTAATTTTTTATCTAATGTAGCCTACATTTTTAATATACAGTAGTATTTTAAAATTTATTTTTCATAAATATTAACTTAAAGACAGTGTTGTTACATTTATGATTTAGTTAAATGGCTGAAGCAACTAGAAGGGCAAAAGTGCCATTTATTCATGATTCAAATTACTATTTAAAATTTGGAAGCTTATGCAAAAGCATACACATAATTTCAGCTACGACTGTTTTGAAATGACACTGGCATTCCATAGTAAGCAATAAGAGTGTTAAATTATTTTTATAGAATAAGAGATTTTTGTAATGTATCATATTAAAGTTTGCAGAAATTCTTATTAGGGTTTTCAGAGAAAACAAAAATTATATTTACTAATGAGTTTATCAATATGGGTGTTTTACAGACTAGTGGTTAAGGAGTACATGTTTGAGGGGATTGTGAGATTATATGAGATGAAGCAAATACACAATTTTGCTAGAAGATAATTGTTTAGAGGAGACTGAATGAACTGCTTCCAATTTGATGCAATTAAGTAAGTAAGTAAGTCATTCGTCTCATCCATGACTCGCTTCTTGACTACAACTTTGAACAGCGAATGCTTCTTAAAACTATTCTATGTGAATTAGTATATGCTGTCTCAGTTTTCTTATATTCATATATATATACTTTTACTAATTGTTGCTAGTTGTGAGAGCTATGAGCTAGCTTTAAATAAAGTCTTAATTACATTTGTAGATAATATTACAGTACATTTTTCAAATTGAAACATGAAACAAAAAGATATAACTAAAAGTACACAACTGAGCTCACTGCACGGGAGACATCTCCCGTCATGCAGGGTGCAGTCGCACCTCCACAGATCTCCAGTTTCATCTATTGATACTGGTAATGGCTCAAAAGGGCCACCACTTACGGGCTATTCATGCCCGTGCCACCTTTTGGGTGGCTTAATCTTTATCAATCTGAGCTCACTTTCAATCAACTGAAGGCTGATGGTTTGTGAATAGTTTTATACCATCAGAGGCGATCTATAATATTTCACTGGAAATTATTGCATAAAATTATGGTGTCGAGTATAAAAAAGCAAATATTCAGATGTGAATATTTTCACAGTGAAAAAAAATATTTATGATCAATTCCCGCACAAATATACAAGTTGATAAAAAGATTTATACAGATGTAGATAGTAAAAAATGTTTAAAGCTAGATATGTTTAGATTCTGCATTAAACATAAATGTTATATTATAGTGTTAATGTGTTGTGTTAATGTTATCTTTTTAAAGTGTATATTTTTATGGACACTATGATTTGACAGCCTTTCACTGGAAGCCCTTTATTTATCATATTATGTTGAGCATATCCTGCTGGTAGGTTATTTTATTTATTTTTGTTCGTCTTGTATTTGTTACATACTGTATAGAGTTGTCTCTACAGATTGTATTTGTTTTTTTTATAAAGTTTATAATCTTCAAAATATTTTTGTTACATGTCGAATATTCTCTTCAAAAATTGCTAATGGCAGAGGAAATCTGACAAAACGTGCGAAAAGTAGGTCCCACTTAAGCTCAAAAGAGATAGGAAATCGACATTCACAATCGACTTGAGAATGGTCCAGGACGGACTGAAACGTTGTCGTCCCTTCACCTTCTAGTGTGTCGTCTGGTCAACAGAGGTAGGAAATACCTGGACAATGTAGTCACTCATACCTGCCTTGTATTAATGACATGCTTGAACAAATCGACAAGGGCCTTGATGAGGATACGAACCTATGCACTGGATGTTCCCAGACACGCTCTAGTCAACTGTACCACAACACAACACTTGTACTTTACATGGGACATGCTCGCCCAACTCTCATCAGACTTGCCTCTTCAGTAGCACCGTTTCTATAGCAATAGTCATGATTACTTTAAAAGTTTAACAAAGCATTACGGTTACAATATTATAACTGCTTATAATCCATTTTAATGTGAACTGATGATTTTGAAGCATTTTTTTTTTATTTTATTTTTTTTCTGCATGAAGAGCAGTTGCTCCTAAGGTGGGCAAGGTTTGTAACGAGTATGTATAGAAAATGAACTAATTATTCACAGTAACATAATTTGATGCTGATCAAACAATTTGACCAAATGCTTTTTGATTATTTTTCTAGCTGCTCATTGAAGAAAAAGCCTTCATACTTGTTATTAAATTTATTTTCTTTTAATGTATAAATCTATGAAACAACATAGTGACAAACATTTTTTGTTTAATTAGGATAAATTATCACCATATATTATATTAACAGAATAAATGTAGTTTCAACTTTTGAAATTCCTCATAACCTCAATAATTCATATGGATGAGCATCTTTTTTTCATTAATATGTGGCTGCAATGAAATATGATTTACAAGGATAACTAGTAAAAGAGCAGAAAGCCATTTTAAACCGATAACAAATTCATTAAAAAACAGTAAACATTTCAATCTAACGTATTAAGAGAATTTCATCACAGTAATTTGTTTAGGTGTCAATAATTTTTTATTTTCTGAGTACATTTCTAATCACCTCCTTTGGGCATTATTATTATCTATGAATACTTAAAGTGATTGTTTTTTGTCTTGTTAGTATTTTATAGTAGATTTACTCGTGCTCAACAAATGTTTTTTAAAGTCATCCCATTTATAGCAGAAGATTGTGAACGATATACTGTATTATATTTTGCAATGATAGGTAAATCCACATTCACTATTAGTTTTAATTAAGATCCAGTATAATATTATGAAGACTTCTACTAAATTCACATTTTGGATGTGAAGACTGAAGTATCAGTCATTCATTTTGTCATCGTGTCTGAAGCTGTCATTCATTTTACTTCATATTATTAGCATTTGCTGTTCCGCAGTATCAGTTTAAATTCTCTTTTACTCCTTACCTTACTAGTAAATAGCCAATGTATTTAAACTTGAATAGCATCTGTTAGTAATAGTAAATTGTCAGTCTTCATTTTTTTTATTGAAAATTCAATTCCTTGGCGCACTAAATCTGATTATAGATTTTGAAGTAGTTTTTCTCGTACTGTGTATCTTTTATTGTATTACCCAACTTAGTTCTATCACCCATTTAATATGTATAAGGCAGCATTTTCCGCTTGTTTCTCACGCACTGTGTTAACAGTACTGTATATTGGGCTTGTGATGCAATCTGGAGGTCAGTATTATTGGTCACATATTATGTATACCAAAAAGATCTACTATAATTTTGTTTAAATTCATAGTCATTTTGCTAGAAAGACTGCTTTTTTCTTGATTCTACAATGACAAATGTTTTATTATTAAAGTTCTGTGCTATATTCAGATGAGAATGTTTGTCTAAACCAATTATACATTGGTGAAAGTAATTTGAAAATTATGTTTTATACAGCATATTATCTGCACGGTGACATTATTAATAAAAAAAAACTTGTTACCCCACTTTGTTGAAATAATTTCAAGGTACAATACAGTACCTTGAAATTTAGTTTAAGGTATTTTCATAAGAAGTGCAGAACTGAATAAGGTATTCTTATTTTTTTATCAATGTTTATACGAGTCTTTGACACTCAATATCCTGATTTTGACACCAAAATATTTAGGTTACATTTTTGCAAACTTACTTATTTATTTATTTATTTATGCATATACAAGAAGGTACATTGGGAATGTGAGGATACATAATATGGTAATTACAGTCTTGTAAAGCCACTAGTACGCGCAGCGTTTCGGGCAGGGCCCCTACTGTCATTCCTTGTTTACAGTACTGTTGCCAGTGTAAACAGACCTTATTGAGAGCAAGGAGAGTGTACTAGTGGAGAATGTTGCCATTTTACATGTTTTTATTTTCGACTTAAAATCATGTTAATTCTTGACATGCAAGAAGAGATTCTTGAGACAATCTTTATATAAAATTGTTTATCATTATTGTATCACCCTCTTTGATTATCCTATTGTAAAGAATGTAACATTAGCATGGAGTAATGTAGTCATGTTATTTAATGTGAGAATGATTTTTAACGCATCTTGCATGACTTAAATTGCCGTGAGATATTTTTATTGAAAGTTCGTTCATACAGTATCTATAGTGCCACTTTCTTATTGTCTATTTTGTAGTTTTCTGATAACTGAAGATGATAAAAGTTTACTGCTGGAAATGTTCATTATATTTTGATTAAGGGGTTCAGATTGCTTTCTAAGATGTCTAAAGTTTAATGTTTATTTTTTTATTTATATACAAGAAGGTACATTGGGTTTGTTAGAATACATAGCATAGTATTTACAATCTTGTAAAGCCACTAGTACGCGCAGTGTTTCGGGCAAGTCCTTAATCTAACAGATAATTTCAAGTAGGTAAATTCTAGCAGAATTAATAAAATGATAACAGATACATTGCAGGAAAAAAAAATGAGATGAGAGAGATTAGTAAGTATATTATTAAAGCACATTGGTATATTAAAGCTCTGATTGATTACATTGACAGCTTGATTGGTAATTTAAACAAGATTAATAGACACCATACAGCAGATTAATAGCACATATAAGAAGACAGCAATGATCACAATGGTAAAGATGTTTGGATTGGGTACATAAAGATTGGGAGATTGGGTAGCAATAGATACAGTGCAATTTTAAAGCAACAAGGTAAAAAACTATGAAGATGAAATTAGGTACTTTTTAGTTATGTTTTTGAATGACGCAAAAGTTGGACAGCTTTTCAATTCATTAGGGAGCGAGTTCCATAAACTGGGTCCCTTTATTTGCATAGAGTGTTTACACAGATTAAATTTGACTCTGGGGATATCAAAGAGATATTTATTTCTGGTGTGGTGATAATGGATCCTATTACATCTGTCCAGGGAGAGTTTCAGAGCAGGATTTGCATTTAAGAAGAGGGGTTTGTAAATGTAGTTGACACAACAGAATTTGTGGAGAGAAATTATGTTTAGCATGTTTAGGGAGTTCAACAAGGGGGCCGAGTGTTGTCTGAAAGCAGAATGTTATTATTCTGATAGCAGATTTTTGCTGGGTGATGATGGACTTGAGGTGGTTTGCAGTGGTTGAACCCCATGCACAGATACCATAATTAAGATAGATATAGATTAGTACATAATATATAGAGATGAGAGCAGAGTTAGGTACATAATATCTGATTTTGGAGAGTATACCGACTGTTTTAGAGACTTTCTTAGTTATGTGTTGTATGTGGGTGCTGAAGTTGAGTATCTTGTCTAGGAATAGGCCAAGAAACTTTCCATCATTTTTATTGCTAATGTTTACATTGTCTATCTGAAGCTGAATAGCATTTGTAGATTTGCTTCCAAATAGGATGTAGTAGGTCTTTTCTATGTTAAGTGTTAGTTTGTTGGTTGACATCTATAAGTGGACTTGTTTTAGTTCATTATTACCAACATTATTTAGTGTATGTGGGTTGGGGTTAAAGTAGATGAGAGTAGTATCATCAGCAAACAATATAGGTTTCAAAATGTTAGAGACATTAGGCAGATCATTGATGTATATAAGAAATAGGAGAGGTCCCAAGATGCTGCCCTGTGGCACTCCAACAGTTATTGGTAGAGTGGGAGAGGTTATATTATTGATGACTGTTTTAAAATTGTTGATCAAGGGGACTAATCGCCTTACAAGACACTTGAAGTTTATTGATGGCCATGAGAAACACCAGAAAAGGTAATGTTACTTCTAAAATTCAGTACTTCGTACTATGGATATGCAGTAATTAATTTTATATGAGAAAAGTGCAAAAAATCACAAATAGTATGTGAAGGTTTGAGTATGTTTTTATTCGTAATTACCTTCCTGTACTATTCTTACTGTGCAACCTTTGCTTTTTTTTTTTATTCTACCATTGTGTATATTTTTCAGATACTTAATTTACCTATTGTGACAGCTTTTGAAATGTTTATGAAAATTATCTAAATATTTTTACACTATGATTTTAAAACAGAATTATATGCTGATCGTTGCGAGTCTACTTAGAAAATTTACACATTAAGTTTGCTTGAATACTTGACTCTGTACTTAAACCTTCAATCTTTTATCAATATTTAATGTTGCTTTATTGCAAGTGACAAAATATATATAACAAATACTGTAGAAACTTAAATCATTGTTAATATGAAAAAGCATTAAGAAAAGGAAATTATGCTCCTTTCATTTTCCAATTATTATCTGGAACTCGAAACTTTAATGTGTATTTAATATTTTCCTATTAAACCTTTGAATACAATTTAATTTTCTCCTAGTTTAAAAATAATTATATGTAGTTTATTATCATTTCCTAAAAATACTAACAATTAAAAACAAATACTTGGTACTATAAATTAAAATGCAATCTTAAGTACAAAAACCAATTGCTAAAACATGAACCATGTATTTATAACAAATCACAAACTTCTAAATTCAATCCATAATTATCTTCCTGACACAAACACATTGTGACCCTTGAGACCCACAGGAAAATTTAGCGATCAATGCTAATGTAACAAAATACCTTTTATCCTGATATTATTTATAAAGTAAATTTACAATTATAGGTCTAAATATACAGATGATTGTGTGTAGAACATTTAACATAATTAATAATTAAACTAAGTGAATGAGAAAACTGAAATTGAACTGAAAGAATGTGAAACAAAAAATTATTTAAATCCAATCCGGCTATCACACAACCACCCTACAGTAAGGAGGACTATAACAACAATAATTTACTCTACTCCCGTAAACTTTGAAGCAATCTTTGCAAGCACAAAGAGATTCATTTTATATCAACCTGGACTAATATTTAAAACAGAGTATTATACTTATATTAGGCACGATTCTACTATGTTTCTATCAATAAAGAAGTGACTATTGGCCAAATTCTTTACTTTAAACCAATCAATCAAATGACCACTGACTTAAATGCCAGAAAAAAATTGGAGTTTTGTCTGATCCAAAACCGAAACAAACACTATTTATTTATTTATTTAATATACAAGAAGGTACATTGGGATTGTGAGGATACATAGCATAGTAATTACATTCTTGTAAAGCCACTAGTACGTGCAGCGTTTTGGGCAGGTCCTTAATCTAATTAATCTCCTGGGTAACTCGCTCTCACTTTCTCGCAGGTCTTTTGGGCTTTATATGCATTTAGTCCTGTAGAGAATTCTATTGCGAACACAATGATACCAAATTAAAAATCCTAGGACGAGAATTGAGGTGACAAAGTTGAAAAGAGTATACACTTTTCAGAATTACCACGAACTCCCGGGGAGTGCGCAGAAATGCCCAGACCCACCTTAAATAGTGAGAGGCTCGACCCCGCAGAGCACAAAAGTGTTAATTAACTGGAAAAGGTGCAAAGGCATACTACAAAATGGCTTCCAGAACTGAAAAACGAGTTACGAGGAGAGGCTAGAGGCGTTAAATATGCCTAAGCTAGAAAATAAAAGAAAAAGGGACGATATGATCACCACTTACAAATAATAAAAGGAATCGACCAAATTGACAAAGAGGAATTCCTGAAACCAGCAACTTCAAGAACAAGAGGACACAGATTCAAGCTAAGGAAACAAAGGTGCTGAAAAAATATTAGAAAGTTTCTTTTGCAAACAGAGTGGTAGTCGGCTGGAACAAGTTAAGTGAGATGGTGGTGGAGGGCAAAACCGTCAGTAGTTTCAAAGCGATATATGACAAAGGGTGCTGGGAAGATGGGACATGACAAGCATAGCTATCATCCTGTAACTACACATAGGCAATTACAAAGTGGTATAGTTAACTATCAGAGGACCACATAAAGAGCATTGTGCAAGACCATGATATGCTTTTCAATTTCGGAATAACTTTTAAATATGGTTCATACACAGGGAATGACAATGAAATTAGGGAAATTCTAAAAGAATAGTACGAAGCAATGCTTAGGACACCAATAAACAAGTCAAAAGTTGAAGATATGGACAGCTTCTTTATGAGATATATCCAAAACTGACAATATAATTAATACAAACAAATGTACAGGAGATTTTGAAAGAGAAATTGACAACAAGCCCATGCACTCAGCTCCAGGTCTTGACTCTCGGAATTCCATATTTATGAAGAAATGTCAAGTGCCAGTAGCAAGATCACTTGCTATAATGTAGAGAACAAGCTTGGATACAGGGAAAACACCAGCACATATAGTACCACTACACAAGGGAGGTAGGAAACCATTGACTAAAAATTCTAGACAGGTTGCACTAATGTCACACCATAATTAAATATTTTGAAACAGTGGTCAGAAATCAGGTCTCCAGCATTATGAGAAAAATGAACTTTACGATCCAAGTGAATTTATATTTCTTTAAGTTCTCTTTAGTAGTAATTTTTTTTAATTTCTCAACATTTTACCTTCCAGTATATTTAAAATGTATATACTGCATATAAATATGCATAATAGTGTGTTTTATCTTTATCATTTCTAGTAAGCAAAGTACAGAAGAACTGATGAAAAATTTGAACACACTTTGTGAACTGAGAGTGAGTTTAGTCCCAATTATTCCATTCGAGCAAGGTGCCACAGTTGTACAGTTTTGCATTTTGTTGTACAGTACTTTTTTACCTTATATTATAGAATAATGTTATAAATATTTGTTCTGTACAATATTACATATGGTTTTCACTGCACAGACAGGAAGCCTGTTAAGATTTTCAGGTTGTAAGGAAGGGGTCCCTTTTGGAAAGAATGTGAGTAATAGTGCAGATAACAGATAATACACAGTTGAAACTGTTGGGTTGAAAGAGAAAAAAATTTGAAACTCCTGCTAGTGTAGTGAGCTAGTTCTGCACATGTGCAGTCCATGGTTACAGTGTGAGAACGTTTCCCTCTAAAATGATTCTTCCTAACCTGGGCTTACATTCCACCAGTCATTTTCCTTCCAAAACTTACTTCTCT